AAGCTTAATGAAGAAACTACTACAACTCAACAATTTGTACATTATGAATGTACATTTAAATCTGGGATATCTTCACTGGAGTTATGTAGAGCTTGTCAAGATAATTCAAACTATTCTAATTTGAATATAAACAATTTTGAATAAATAGAAAGCTGAATATTTTTTCAGAAGGAAAATTTATATTTTGAATATTTTTGATGAAGTTTTTTATTTTCATATACTTTTTTTCATTTGAGTTTATATATATATATAGAAGACCACATATATATACACATGTACGCATTTTTACAAAATGGTATGCATAAAGGGTAGACTATTCAAATTACCTGGTATGTTCGATAGATTCGACTTGTTGTCAGTGTTTTCAAATTAAGAAATGTATGCTGACATTGACACCAATTTAATTCTAATTTCATGAATAACATTTCTTGGAAGTAAATATATATGAACTAAAGTAATTTTATTGAATTGCACAAAATGCAGTTTAAAATGTACACAATTACAGAATATAATATTAAATTTATATTTTTTCAAAAAGGTTATATACATTAACAGAGTGGACTGTATGAACTTTATATTCATTGTAGAATTATAAACATTGAAAATTGAAAAAGAATCGAAGTAAAAGAAAAAAAAAACCTAAATAACATCATTTGCTATCAGTACTGTCACCATCAGTATCAATCTGATCATTTTTCTGATTAACAAATAATGATTTTTTTTAAATGTGCTACAAGATGGATTTTTAAATCAATTGAAATATCATTGAAAATCAAATATTAAATTTTTATGATAATGTACAGTAAAGGTTGTTTTTTTCCTTCCATTTATTTTTCTCTGCCTAAGCGGCCCGATACCCGGTTTGTATATTCCCTATACACAGTAGCCCGTTATGAGTATAGGTAGTCCTGTGTATACACGTGTCACCACCCCCTCACCTAATCCCCAACTAACAATCCCCAACACACAGGAAGTATGTGTCGCTCAAGGGGAATTCCGAATTTCGTTTCGAATTAATTGGATGACCATAATCAATCGTTATGTATATTTCCAACAAGACCCTATTTATAAATTGTCACAAATATTGTTTATATTTGTTTAAAAAGAAAATTATTGGGAAAAATACTTTCAAAAGAAATAAAAGTTTACAAATATATTGTGCACAAAATTATAATCTTTAAAACTTGTTAGATTTCATTTGTTAACGCCTAACGAATTAATACCTATAAGTAAAATGAAGAATAAAAATAAAAAAAATTAAGTTGAAGCGGCGATAACAGTATTTACAAGAATTAAAATTTGCTGTAAAATTAAAATACTATTATTATTCTGTAAAGACAATTTAATAAAGGTAAAAATAAATTCGAATTTTATCAAAAACTTTCTGTAAAAATGGAATGTAATTAGACCCATCCCAAATATCATAGATAAAGTCAGTTTTTGTTCAGGGCGAAATAATGCATATTGAAAAGTGTTAACTTTCTTTTTTTCCATTAAACCAGGAAACTAAGTATGTTAAACAATGAGAGATACAGCTTATCTTAAGTCCATGGATGTACGACTAGATATTTTATTCTCCCAAGTTATATAGCATAGTTTTAGAAAGTTCATAAAAAAAGATAATTTATCATAAAGTGTCCAGAAACAGTTCCCCCAATTTAAAAGACAAATCATCCAACAATTGACCTGTTTTATTATTATTTTACAAGTTTTCAATCAGCGACAGAAGTATTTCTTTTCACACGGTTCCTGTGTTAGGAATCTTACATTCCTTTTGGACCCTGCTGTGCTAACGAGTGTTTTCTACAGTTGGACTATATTATGCAAGTTACAAACAAAGAGATCGATTTGCATATCTATGATATAAATTGGTGATAATCGGACACAGCCGTTTTTATTAACACATCATTCAGTCGGTAAGCGTTTGATCGTTCTAAGCGCGATAACTTCTGAATGTTGTAAATTCATAAATTTCAGCCAATCTCTATTGCAGAGTAATTCATTCTTTTCTCAGAAAATTAATGAATATATGAGCTAATGTAAGCGACGTATACGTGACGTTAAAAATTATATCCTTAGCAGTATATTAGACTTTTACCTAGGAGGCGGATTGCCATAAATAACAAAATATTTTATTAATGCTAAAAATACGCACAATTACCATAAAATAAACGAATTTCAAGATTAAGATTTAATATTTATAATTTGACGACAATATGCAAAAACAAATTAATCGAGATCTGCGGTAATGCAAAAAAAATTCTTTCTTTTTTTTTTTTGTGTAAAAATGTTACCATAAAAATGTCATATTAATAGACGCAAGGGACTGACCATATGTGAAAAAAAAAATATAAAATGCATAATTAAAAAAAAGAAGAGAGAGAGAGAGAGAGAGAGAGAGAGAGAGAGAGAGAGAGATTAAATTACACCTAAAAAAATAATCCCTAAAAATTTAAGTAAAAATAGTCGAAATTCGGATTAGCCAATATTTATGTCAATTAAGTCTTTTAGTAGTATCTGGTAGAAGCCATTTGGTGAGATCTATTTTACACAAAAAGAAAGTTTTTGGATCATATAAATGGCAACAGTAGTCAGTAATATTTTATTCTTTCATTGTTAATGTCAGCAAAAAAGCTAATGACACTAACCTGACTCCTTCATTAAAAAAAAAGAAACACCCCCCCCCCCAAAAAAAACAAGCCCATTGACTGCAATGCTCACCTGAGTTATTTTGGTCTTGCTGTTTTCCACCAGATTCCCCTACAAACCGTGGATGGTGGATGGGTCATGATTTGAACAATTTAGAAGATGCACTACCCCAGTATGCTTCCACATAAGTGTCACCTTTTCTGGTCCAGTGGGTCTTTAGGAGAAGATTTCTAAAGATTTTTCCTATATATTTCAATGTCAAACTTAGTTTCTCTTTTGCGGCCCCTTCTTACCATAGGAGGCCATGTTAAATGTGAAAGTGAACCAATGTGTAACCATAGACAATAATTTGCTACTAAGTGTAGCTCCTTCTTTTTCAATTGGTGGACTATAATTCAATTAGATTTAGAAGGAGGGATCGTGAACACACCCGTTTTTGACATCATTAATCCTGCCCTTGGAATTTGATTTATTTTAAAGAACATGGACATTACTTTTGAATTGGTCGGTGCTAGCTATAAAGAGCTTTCATATTAATTTCACGTGTATCCCTTGTATTTACAAATTCTCTCTTTGGCAAAATTCTTGTTCTCATGACCTTGGAACTTGAAACTGTCGGAAAACTTTAACCCTGACCATAAGCATATGGGGCGATCAGTGTTTCAGCATCACATGAAAAATATGGAGATAAAAAACAGTCTTCAAGATAAAAGTTATAAAAGATAAAACAATACAAAGTAGGAGCATGCAGAGCAAACACGGGCCACCAAATAATCGGAGGTGGGATCAGGTGCCATGGAGGAGTGAACATCCCCTGTCGACCGGTCACACCCGCCGTGCTCCTTGTCATGATCGGGAAATAACGGAAAAATCCGTCATAAATGCAGTGTATAAATAATGGACTAACAAATAGTATGAAAAACGTCATTCAGCATTTGACTCAATGATAAATTGTATTTACTGACAAGGTCATAATTGTATCGACCAAAGAACTTATGAAATAATGACTTTAAACGAGACTGCTGAAAGTCTTGCTTCATCAACTTGTTTGTCAATGATTAACCTCGTTTTAGAAATTGTTCATACGTAGAGCATGCTCATGCGTATTGAATCAACTGAGATATATAAACTCCGTATGCATGTGATGAAGGTTTATTGCTGCATAAGTATAAGGGAAGTTGACGATAGAAAAGTTAAAGTTATCACGTCTATCAAAGAGCTTGGTTGTAAGATTACCATTAACGTCTTTTTCAAGTAAAATATTCAAATAAGTAACAGATGTGTCAGACTCTGTGGTAATCTTTTATCTCAAGCTCACCGAGATAGATCCTATCGATATAAGAATGGAAATTACCATTGTTAATTGACAATAGGTTGTCGATTTTTCTAAATGTCGAGTTGAAAGCCACAGCAAGTGTTTTCTTCTTTTCACGCACAAGATTTTGCACAAATTCCGCTTCATATGAATAAAGAAACAAGTCTCCTTATGACGGGGCGCAACTGGTACCCATGGGAATTCCAATAGATTGTTGGAAGACCCGGACTCCAAGAACAACGTAGATATTGTCAATCAGAAACTCGAGCATCTTTTTGATGTCAACTTCAGAGTACTTGTGTGTACAATCAGAATGATTAAAAAAAAAATAATTTTGCAAATGACCTATGCCAAGGTACGTAAATTTTCGAGTTCCATTTTTATTGAAAAAGCAGCTGTCAATGATATCAAAAAGCCTGGACTTTAATTTATTGTAGGGAATGGTTGTGCATAAAGTTGAAAAGTCGTAAGTTTTTAAGCTGTTGACTTTGGTGAAACCTTGTGATTTCAATTTGTCCAAAAGTTCCTTGGATTTTTAAGTATCCACATCTGATTTACACCACTTCTTGAATATATTGTTGTGCATTATACTCTTGAGGTTTCTCCTTCACTGCTGTAAGTAAGTAAGAAGTAAAGAAAGAGTCTTGGTTGAACATTTATTGGAACCCGCTATGTTTCTTTGTTTGTAAGGATTCTTATGAAGTTTCGGAATCCAATATGCATCAGTTTGCATTTGATGTAATTTTTTTTAATTACAGATAAGAATGTCTGTAATTCTCCATACTAGCATAAGGATTTTAAAGTAAGGTAAATTTTTAGAGTTATCTTTCTTAGATCCTTTCCCACTCCGAGACGCACCTAGCTTTAACACTTTTTAATTAACGCTGAATCAGGAATTTTCCAGCCACAATTCGATAATTCTTTTAATTATCTTTCATCTTTATTTTGTCTCTGAAACATTCTAGAAACAAAATACATATATAATTATAAATTAATAAACATTTTTATACAACAAATATTCAAGGTAATATATGCACATTATTAAGTTTATCATATTTATTTTATACTAGTATTTATCTCATGTAGAAAAGAAAACATACTAAAGAATGCTATAGAATGAACATACAAGTAGATAAAAGACCACCGTACAGACACAGTAATCATACGGACACACGGCTGAATTGCATGACGTAAATGTGATTCTAACATGCAACTGTCATTTCCAATCTTGTAGGCTGTCATCGCTCTCTCTCTCTCTCTCTCTCTCTCTCTCTCTGTATTGCAAAGGGTATCTTTAACGTCGAAATACATTATACATATAGGCACAGTATATTTGACTTTGAAACATACACAAATGCTAAGTTGGTAACTTGCACAGGCGCCAACCTAAGTATCGTGAAAGTCCAATTACAGATAAAGACCACAGCATATTTCCGACCTTTTCAGATCGGAATCTGTACGTGGACACGCCATGTAAACAAATCAGTATATAAAGTTTAATGCTCAAAAGCAACATCAAACAATACATGATTTATAATAGATTTTGACAGAACTCGAATAGATCTCAACCGGGCCCCTTCTATTTTACAAGCTACGCTATTGAATTCCTGATGACGTCTCTTGAGATCCGTGTTTTTGAACACTGTGACTTTCTATGCTTTACACGTCATCATATGGTCGATCCCTCTTGGGTGTGCTGGCACAACAAGAAAACATGGCGATCAACAGAGTGAGGGCAGCTCCCGCCGCCGTCAAATAAAACGCCCAGTAGAACGTACAGGTACCTACAAAATAAAATCCAAAAAATCAAAATCCTCAGTGTATGAATTGCAGTTAAACCTGTCATTTGACATTGGGAGATTAATTCTATATCGAAACAGACCGGCTGGTGTCAGACTGCACATTGTGAAAAATCATGGAAAAATGGGAAAGAAATTTAATTACCGTCGGAATTCACAGTGTAACGAATTACAAAGGTGTTGGATTAGACATTTTCACTGTATAATCATAATCTTTATAAAAGGGCTGGGTGGTTGTGGCCATTTTTAGACTATTTTGATCTCCTTTAGAAGACGAGCTCGATATAAAGATATAACAAAATGATCAAATTTTAAAACTAAAATTTATTTTTCATTTTTTTCTTTGTCAGATGATAGTTGACAGCTTAAGATATCATATCCCAAAATTTAAGTTATATCTGGTGGTTAAAAAAATAATTTGTTGACCCCCTAGCCTCCTTAAGTACATGTAGAAATGTGAAATAAACATCGAATTTCAAAATGTTATTTCCACAGTGTGAAAATAAAATTAGAAAAAAATCATAGCTAAAACTCGCTATTTTCCTTCCATTCCAGAAAAAAAGTAATCCGCCTAACTGACCTTGGAGATTTACGTACGTTAACCTCGGCCAAACCTTTGAACGGTAAGGGTAAGGGCTTTCATACGTCACATATGTAGTCCTTGTGAGAATACTTTTTATTTGATACCAAGAACTTTGAACCTTTGACCTTGACGTTTGTCCCACTTTTTAAAAACAAACCTTGACCATAACTTTGGAAGGGTTAGGGCTAGAGCTTTCAGACTTCATATATGTAATCCTTCACATATGTAATCTTATGACAAAAACTTTCATTGGAAACCAACAACTTTGACCTTGACCTTGGAGTTTGACATATTTTTTCAAAACTTTAACCTTGGCCATAACTTTTAAACGGTCAGGGCAAGGGCTTCATATTTCACATATGTAACCCTTTGTTACAAGATCTGTCTTTATAACTTCAACCCTTTGACTTTCACTCTAGAGTATGACCTATCTTTCAAAAACATATCCATGGCCATAACTTTTGAACAGGTGGTGCTAATGCTTTTATATTTCACAATCATTATTGCATTTCTTGTGAGAAGTCCTTAAATTGTGTACCAACATGTTATATTTGCATTTCAGAAAAGTTAATCTTCGCTATGTTACCATACGGAAGCATCAGTGTTTTACAAACACATCTTGTTTGAAGAATATATTTATTTAAAAGAATGATTTTAGATAGCGCTTGACAATTCAAATAAAGTTCCTATATGGCACTAACCACCCCCCGGTCTTTCGTATCACAATTTTAGCTGTTACATTCGATAAATCTCAGTAACTACACCTAAAATAGTGTACAAATTTTCATCAAACCTGATAATTAGTCATCTGATAAGTACAAACGACAAGCACCCAAGTCAGGTTTCCTGTTGCTACATGGTGTGGGGGCATATGTGACCGCTAAAATTCAGAAAAGAATGATGTCGGAAGCAGTAATTATCTCCGCGTTTCTGGTGTATTTATCGTGATTTCGGTTTATACCTGCAGAGCTTTAAGGCAATTTAACCTATAAGAGAGGATGGCGGTTGCAAAATTACACCAATTTACGTTTATTTTGAGAAACGCCGATTTAACTGGATTTAAGTGTTTGCTGCAGATGAAAATTAATGTTCTGCTTTTATTTCATTTTCTTGTTACAAGGGGGTAAATCGCAGTACATGAACTTCATAAAGATGCCACTATTTTTTAGTCTTATAAAAATAATATACTGCGTATAAATGACGGTTTGATTTTCCGAAAAAAACAAAAACAAAACGGTACTCTTAAGGTTCAATGGCCCTCTACTAAGGGGGGCAACTCTCACATTGATACTCTTTTAAAGACAACTCTAACTGGGATAAATGTCTATTATCCATTTATAAAATTGTCTAGTGCAAAGGACATTTCTATCTGACTATTAAACCGACAGCTATTCTGAAATTGTTTTCATTTTCATACGAAATTTTATATCTTTGGAAAATCAAAAAATCAAAAGCGTTAAAGAACAGAGGATGAACGTTATCATCGAATAATGATTAAGTAAGAATAAAGCAATACTAGTATCCTGAATTTAGAGACACGATTGACAATAAACCCCCCCCCCCCCCCGTCTAATTATATGGCAATCCTTATCCTCTTTTATTCATCCTATATGCAATATGTAACATACATTTTTACTCGATTCAAAGCCTTTGAAAATATTTTCATATTGTAACCATGATACTGTGACCAGTAATCTTTGTCTGTGATGTCACTCACCAAATTTATAAGAACTGGACGTTTGACCACAGGCCTGCTGTACCTCGGCGCTGGTCCAGCCATGAGGGTAAATAGCCAGACCCCCTCCAATCAGTAAACCTAGACAAATACGGAAAAATATAAATACGTAATACTACATTTAAACATGTACTGGAATATGTATTTCGTTTCTAAACGGTACTTGTTAATGTTTAAGATTCAAAATAACCACAAATCTGATTAAAAGCAGGAGGTAGGGGAATGAAAGGGGGAGGACGTCATACTGGCAATGACCAAAATAAAGTCATAATTGATTGACTTTTGATGGTATATCGCTGTCAACTAAACAGCAAATCTCACTGCCCATCAATCAACATAGGCCAAATATTTTGAATGTCTTTAGGGAAAATGACCCTTGCGTGGTTATGAACTATGACTTCTAGTCCTCATACATGTACTTGTTTTGTTCTATCGCACGCAGCTCCTTGTGGCCAATGTGGGTATACTTTGTTTCATTTTAAAAAGATATAGACCTTAGTTTATTTACAAAATGTCAAAAGTTAGACAGAATTATTTGAACATGTATATCTATATGTGAAGTAAGGATGATGAGAAAAACACAGTAAAAAGTGCATGTTGCAAGAAGAGAAATAAACGGTATTTTAAGGAAGAAAATCACTTAATATTTTCATCTCTGAATCTGAGTTTTGAGTTTACATGTATAACTTAAGCAAGAGAAAGAGACAGACGGATTAGATCCAGGAATTGAGTCTGCCAGGCCCTCTATATCACTAGTCAGATGCTCAAATAAGATACTAGTATCTCATGTATCCGTCGATCAGACCTGCTTGAACGCCACATTCGTCCCTCCTTAAAGGAAACCAAATCCTGACTCTTTTACACCATGATAGAATTTTCAGTATGAGGTCGTAAAAATGACATCAAAATACAATAAGAGAGGGAGAGGAGAAATGCAAAGGGCAGATGAGGATTTCTCTTTGGTTTTGCCCTCCTTCCCTTACCCCTCTGAGATTGCTTCTTACAAAATTGGTTAGTTTTCATGGATTAAGAACTTTGTACTACAGTACAAGTATAACTACCATATGAAGATACTTATGTACAGCCATGCATATATTAACTACAGTGGACACCAAATAACAGAGGAATCTCATCGAGACTCGGGATCAATTTAGTGGTAACATTATGGCATGCTTTCCTGGATCTTTGTTTAATATACATGTAGGGGGAAAATGCAAAATCTGCATGCATAAACACTCTTTGCAATGAGAAACCACTGTTCCAAGAAATTAGCAGAAACATACGAAGAAGGCTATAAGTGCCATGTTGCAGCCATTTTAGGAGATAACAAATCTCAAAAGGAGATCGATACTAGAAGTGAGGTTCCTCAGCCAATTAATATACCACTGATGATTACGAATCTGACGTGTGTAGGTCACCAATACCACTAGCCGGAGTAGATTTATCGTCTTAGGAGGGGCACTTGTTTATCATTACTGTTTTATGACCTGGGTTTACCTAAAAATAATATAATAAAACAGGGACATCAGATGGACAGCCAGTGTTTAATTAATGTTGCACATACAGTCATCCACTCCTTTCTTGAGCAGCGGTTCCTAACATTTTCTGTTCACATTTGATGTTCAATACAGTTCCCTCAAATATACATATACGCAAGCTTTTAAATACTCTACGTTGAATGAACTATTATACCGAACTCATCTGTGTCAAAACCCCCTTAAATACATAACGCAGTTTCAGAGGAGGACAGAGCCCTATTGTATTTAACCTGTATAAGGTATATTCAGCGCTACAGAGACACAAGGTGTATATCTACATAGATGACCTCAGGTATATAATCTTTCTACAGAGGTACAACACACACTGATAGGTGACAGGGATCCCAGGTGTGGGTGATCTGTTTACACCAACAAACAATCCAGGTCAGTTTTACAGCACCCCCCATTTATCACGACATTACCTAAACCCTGTTTACATGTGCTAATACACTGAAGATAACATGAATGAAATTCCTGACACAGTGGTGCCAAAATCTTCTTTGATTTTGATAAATTCATCAGCATGGCGATACCCCCACCATGAAGCGTAAAGATTACACGTACGGATGTGGTGTTTTTGTAGCAGTTTTAGTGATCTAGATGATGTTTCCATACTCTGACTCAGAATTTTTCTCTAATTGTTGGCTGAAAAATCTTCGGAAAAATAAATCGATAAAAAGAGTATGAATCAGAAATACATGCATACTGTTGACAATTGTCTGTATTGTATATGACGGCCTGACATACAAACACTAGCAAGCAGCTGTGGCATCAATTTCTTCTTCTTTACATAAATGATCTAAGCAAAAAAATGCCCTTTAATCTCGACGATTTCTATTTATTAAGGTTCCTTTATATAGCCCATCTCCAGCCACTGAATGAGAATTCAAAACCACAGTACACAATATAAGTATAATGGAACTGTTCTTGAAACACAATCTTATTTTTTAATGCCAGTTTTTATCTATTTTGTTTTGCAGCAATTATTTTAAAGGGGGCACTAAACATAAGTACTTTTTTTCTAAAATAGCCAGTGTAATGTGCCATTTCTTGTCTTCGTATGCCTGCCTGATACGTACCTGAACACATCTGTAAAATTCCTGCAATCTTTGCAATGAAAGGGGATATAATGCCTCTGATACAAATAGCCAGAATGGCAATTAAGGCTATCAGTACCGCCAGTCCACATCCGGTACCCACGGCAATGGTAGCCACTTGCCACCACAGGCTTGGAATGTCACTGAAACTCGAATATCGTCCACACTGCTCCACCATTTCAAATTCATCATTAACAGTCCTTCGTGGGTAGTTGCAGCGTCTGAAAACGCCAAAATACACGGGTACACCATTAAGTTGTCCTTTTAACCAATATGGCATGTAAAACCCAAAACTGGCCCCGACAGCAGCCAGGAGGGACAGTAGAGCCCAGAAAACCCCGATTCCTGAGAGTCTTGTCATTGCTGGATGTTGCCTCTGTGAGCGGTGTAATAGTTCTGTGTTCCAGGAACCGCTCTCCCCGCGCGCTAAGGTCCGTATCATCAGTATATAACACTAAAGAAATAGGGAATCCAGCTTCGCGTTCAATTTATGGAAGTTCATTCATGCTAACGCTCCGTTTGCGCTGTTTTATTGTTAATATAGATCATTATCCAATTTCTATCAGTATGTATATATCGGTATGGTAGTCGAGAAAGCACACGGAGTGGCAGCAGTCCTACTAAATGTTGATTAACCGCACGATACCAAACGGGGATTTGTAACAAAAGATTTCATGTCAAAGTCTATGGCCCTTGTATGAATGTCAACCTTAACTCCGGCAAATCTCGGTTTTCTTCCGTTTTACCACACGGTTAGCGAAAATGAATTAAATGAGTTGAATACTTTTTTTTCATAACAACAAATCGATTGAGGTTTTTAAAAACAGACTGAATAAATAATTATTCTCTTTTCTCAATCTTGTGAAGAGGTCCGCTCAGGTAGAACGTAAATAATGGCATTATCCGGGCACAAATAGAAATGTTCCGTAACAAATGAGAGAACACTTGAGAAATTTTTACACCGTAAAAAAGTCCAGTCGCTGGAAAATATTGTGTATTGCCCCGCAATATATCAAAGCATGCCTAAGATTTGTTCCGATTTAAAGACCACATTTGATAACTCTTGACCCGTATTGTACAAGATCTGATATCTCTGTCGATGGTATCTGACATGGAATAAGATTCAACACACCGGCATCCAGAAACAAAGGCGCGTTCTGATCTCCCTGTCACGAATTAAGGCGTCTATCATATCTGTGTTGTATCAATGTCCGTAAACTCTTGAGACTATAGTGCATAAAAAAGTGCAACAAGATACCAATATACACAGCTTTCGGAAAGCAATCTAAAATTTTACTTAAGCTTAGACACTTTCAAAGAAACACGTTCTTGCCATTAAAAGCATATTACAAACTTTTGTAAAACTTGGTACGTTCAAACCTGGTTTAAATGTTTCACATCTGAAATTAATATGCATGAAATGAACCATGAGTCACACACGAAATATCAATTTAAAATTGGTTTATGAAAACTTTTCTGGATTGAAAAAAAAAAAAAACTTAAATACCCTTTCCATTTATTTTAACGTAAAAAGCGTAATACACAAAATCAATAATTAAAAAAAACCTAATTTTTATATACCTTTCCAAATAATATTTTTTAACAGAAAAGGATAAAAAGCGTATTACACAACCTTATATAAAAATTTTCCATCAATTATAATTCCAAAGCATTTTATAGTAGAAAAGGGTTTATCAAGAGAAATTTTCAAAAATTTTATTACCTAGCTAAGCAGTTACTAATCAATGAAGCTTGGATTGAAGTCTATGGAAAGAAGAAATTTATTTTTAAAGTAAACAAGATGTGTTTGTGAAACACTGATGCCCCCGTATGGCAACATAGCGAAGGTTAAGCTTTCTCAAATGCAGATCAAATAATAGGCCTTTTCACAAGAAATGCGAAAAATAAAACGCTAGCTACACCTGTTCAAGGGTTATGACCAAGGTTAACATTTTATAATATAGGACAAACTCCGTTTCAAGGTCAATGGGTCAAGGTTGTTGGGTTTTAAAGAAAGGCGTTGTCTCAAAGATTACGTATGGGAAGTATGAAAGCGCTGGCCCTTACCATTCAAAAGTTATGACCAAGGTTAAAGTTTTTAAAAAATAGGTCAAACTCTAAGGTCAAGGTCAAAGGGTCAAGATTCTTGATACCCAATGAAAAGTCTTGTCACAAGGATTACACATGTGAAATATGAAAGCTCTAGCCCCTACTGTTCAAAAGTTATGGTCAAGGTTAATGTTTGTAAAAAATATAATCCAAGGTCAAGGTCAAAGCATTTTGATATCAAATGAAAGGGTTGCCACAAGGATTAAATTTGTCAAAAATGGTCAATGTTTATTTTTACCTCCAAGGTCAAGATCAAAGTTATTGTTATCAAATGAAAGGTCTTGTCATAAGAATCAAATATGTAAAGTATGAAAGCACTAGCCCTAGTCTTTAAAAGTTATGATCAAGGTTTGCTTTTTTAAATATATTCAAAGGTCAAGGTCAAAGGGTCAAAATATCCAATGAAGGGTCTTTGCACAAGGATTACATATATAAGTATGAAAATGCAAAAGTTATGGCCAAGGTTAAAGTTTTTTCACAAGTACCAAAATCTACAAGGTCAAGGTCAAAGGGTCAAGGTTGTTGGTATCCAGTGAAAGGTTTTTTAACAAACATTACATATGTGAAGTATAAATGTCCTGGTGTCTACTGTTCAAAAGATATAGCCAAAGTAAAATTTTAAAATTTTCATGTAAAAGTGGGTCTAACTCCAAGGTCAAGGTCAAAAGGTCAAATTTTTTTTGTCACAAGGAATACACATATGAAATTTTTATCAAAAGTTATGGGCAATGTTAAAGTTTTTCAACTTCGTTTAGGGGGCATAAAAATAAATACATCTGTACTCATAATATTAAGAAATGCAGAGGTCGAAACATACCGGTATATTTGATCATTAGAAATAGAAAAAGAGGCCCATTATGAGAAGCTTTGACCATTCTGTTCTTTACCAGATTTCTTATATAGTGATACTAAACATGAAAATTATTTCTAAATATATATTTATGTAAAAATTTGATTCCCACGTGGGTCAGACATATCTGTTTCAGCTTTTCTGGCCCAGTGGCATTTAATTTCATATATATTGAATCTGAGGTCATGATTTGAACAATTTGAGGATGCTTCCACATAAGTTTCAGCTTTTCTGAACCCAGTAGTTCTTGAGAAGATTTTTTAAAGACCCCACCCTATTTTCTCTTTTCTTGATTATCTCCCCTTGTGAGGGGACTTGGCCCTTTATTTTAACAATTTAAATTTCCCTTCACCCAAGGATGCTTTGTACCAAGTTTGGTCAAAATTGGCCCAGTGGTTCTTGAGAAGAAGTCGAAAATCTGAAAAGTTTAAATCAAAATGTGAAGAAAAGCTTGAGCCTTCGGCTCAGGTGCAAATTGAAAACTATTTTTCACCTTCGTTTTCCGAACGTTTTAGATAAAAGCAAAAACTTAACAGGACAATGTCATAAATTATAGGCCACATCCCCATCTTACATACTGATACTAAAACATGAAAAATATTTCTAAATATTACATGCAAACAACAAGGCTATTGAGGGTTGTAAAACTGTCACTATATCAAAGGCCCTCAATCAACTGTATTTACATTGTGCAAATTGCGTCACTTCCGTTTTCCACAGATCAAATTAACACGCACGCCCATACACAAACTTACATACAAACACAAGCGCTGTGCGTATTATATCCCCTCCAACTCATTTGTGAGGGAATAATGAAAAAGTTTGTTCCCTCTTCATTTTTTGTGAATAAGTCAAATTAACAACATATGCATTAATCAATCTAAGGTCAGCCAGTTGATATTTGGGACTGGTATCGTCATTAGATTTTGAAAAACTTTTTCCATTCTTTTGATATTATGTAATAGCATGTTTGGTTGCTAAGATGCCGTTCTTTTACCGCTTGCAACATTTTTGGAGTCCCTATATTTGTAATTTGAAAGATTAAAAAAAAAATGAATGAATTCCAGAATTAAATAAGTAATGTGTTACCTAAATATGCTTATATTTTTAAATCCCCGTATCATGATACGTTGATATACGTATCACGCAATTAAAAAATCACGATATAACGGTTAGCCGATAAAATCGCATGTCCCTAATGCGGCACGTTAAGTATTGTTTTTCCTTTATTGAAAAGAATGTACTTTCTAAATCTAAAATTAAATATTGTAAGACTTTTAAGACTTAAAATCTTTGAACTGTTAAGGTAAGTCAATAGCGATGTGGCCATAGCTTCTTCTTCTCCTTCTTTTTTTTTTTTTTTTTTTTTTTTTTTACTTTTGAATAAAAAAATGTAAATAACTTTTTTGGGGGGTAGTTTAGCATGTGCTTTTTGCCCCCCGCTTTTGCTCATTCGTCTGTCAATCTGTCCATTTGTCCCTCTGTCACAAAAACTATCATTGCCTTGCCTTGGTCATAATTTTTGATAGAGAAGAGATAAGGTTGTAATACCGGTGGTATTTTTAAATACATTCATTTGATACATCAGCATCTATCAGTCAGTAGCATGCCTCGCTTTAAAAATTGATCCGGACGTACTGGGAGAAAGCTCATAAGTAGCGAATAAGTTTGGAGACATAAACCCCGTAAAAAAGTCATAGCAGATATAAGCTTGATATTAGTTTAGCTCAACATCTAAATATTTTTTTTGATTTCAATCATTCATGGTAAAGTAAACATTATAAAAAGTATAAAAATCTCTATAACTTTATTTTTTTCTCTTATTTTCATAGAAAATTATATAACAAATATAGACCTCTTATTTATTTGGTCATCCATAAAAATATCGACTTCACAGAAAAGAACACTATTTTGTTTGCTTTTTTAAATTTCAAAATAAATTTCGTAAATAAACTGTTTTCTCAATTTTCATTCTTTTTTTACATTTTGCTTGGAGGAAAAAATCACCACATCACATTGATTTGATTGATTGATTTGTTGATTTATTTGATTTATTTTTATTTTTTTTAAATTTATTTTTCTATATTTCTTTACTTGTTCAACCACTGCTAATGTGATCTCTTTTTACACAAACCATTCTTCTTCAAAGCTTCGTACAGACGTAGATCAATTCATTCGTAACCTCTCAGACATTTTCCAAACGACAATGAATAAGTTGGCAGGCGCGGGAAAATTAAAACGATAAACAAAACATCGATCATTGGAAGGCAACAAGAAATCGATACATCAGGTGAGAAATAAATATTTTATCATTTTAAAAACATTTGACGTTCGATGACAATAATAATATTCAGACTTGTGTGTGATCATGTCATGAATATGATGGTTTATTGACACATTTGAGGAACGACCACTGCTTTATAGGCCTAACGGCAGTAAAGACCCATTTTTCGTAGATATATCAGCCTAATTCCATCTTCATATTTAAACATGGCTTAGTTTTTTCTAAATCACTTTAGAAATAATTGGGAATTGGTAAATAAAGAAAATTTTGCTAAAGATACATTATAAAAATACTAACAAAACTCGGAGTGGTAGGCCTCCTATAGAACTTTAGCTGCAAGCCTGGGGGCCATAAAACTTATAATTGACGAGCTCACTTTTGATCTCAGTCTCAGTTTTACCAAAGGAATATATAGTGGAAAAGATCTGTAGCTCGCTGGTTTAAAAAAAAAATTGGGATGGGTCTGTTAATATATTATTTTTTAGAGAGCTACAGTTCTGCAGCTAGCCCCCTAGTGCATCTGTATGCCAGGTGCCAAACCAATATCGCAAGAATGTTGAATATATAACCACCACAAAACATTTGATAAACCTAAGTTGCTAATTGTGACAGTTTTATTTTGCTTAATGATCATTTTATTTTAAAAAAAGAATCATCAAAATTTGTAAATGTATTTGTTTAATTCATTAGTAATTTTTTTTCTTGTAATTGAAATAATTTAAAAAGAATTTTATATGTATTGTCTTCATATCCTTGATTTGAGTGAAAATTAAAAATGTGTGATATAAAGTACCTTTTGTAGTGGTAACTGAGTTTTTGTGTAAATTGGTACATGTATCTGTATATCTTCATTTATACCTAAGTATTTATAGCTCTACCAGATATGAAGGACCTGGAGTACAGAGTTCCCTCCCCTCACTATCTCAGACTGACACTAGAAGACAGAGCCTTATGTCTGAACAACTTTGACGACCCTATCCTCACATCCACCAAGCTTTGTGTCCAACCAAGCCTCTCTGGTATGTAAACACATGTAATTTTATTTCGAAGTTGTCTTTGTAAGTTCAAAAAATATCAATGTCAATTTAGAACATATCAATAGTGGTTCCTATGGAATGCCATATACGACAGCCAACTGCTGACTGCTTACCGCCAACTGTCAGCTGCTTACTGCCAACTGCCACACATATTTTAATAAATTTTATATTTGTATTGATATTTATGTGAATTTTCACAAAAAAGGGAAAAAAGGCACGGATCCAGGACAATTTTTCCAAGGTGGTCACCCTGGTAAAATTGAATTGAATAAAATGACCAATATGTTTAATCTTATGTAATATTCAATTTATGTGGTTGATAAAGTACATTGTTTTTTTTTAAATGTGTTTTCCTATTTGAAAGAGGTAATAAAATGACTATTTTCTGCTTTTAATCTTTGAAAAGCCTTCCCCTCCCCCTGAGACAACAAAACCTTTGAAGAGAGAATAATAATAAAAAAGATTTGTCGTTTCGCAGAGAAAGATGTTTTGAAAATAAATTTCCGTTTTCCATTATACTCTATAGTTAAAAATTTAATCAAATTAAAGATGTATATCTCTGTGTTTTATAATGCAGGCACGTAGCATCGTTTTTGAAAGTGGGGGGGGGGGCAACCAGAGAAAATTTTTTTTACTTACCTGAAAAAGTTGACAAGCCAAAAAAAAAAAAGGAAAAAAAGGAAATAGCCCAAACTCGAAAATCCTATTTCGGGGGTGGGGGCTAACTTTTTTTTAAGGCCAATTACCTTTCACTTACATTTTTTTTCCACACAATACTACATATCCTTGATATCACTATACTATGGTAAAAAGTGGGGGGGGCAACCATCCTTTCAATATACATTTTCAACAGTAAAGGTAATGTTGGGAAAAAAAGTGGGAATGGGGGCAGTGCCCCCCCCCCCCCCCACCCTGTTGCTACGTTGCTGTGATGTTTCACATGCATAGATCTGGGGGGCATTTAAAATTTGTACAGTCATACGTTAAATATAAATCTAAACGAACTACCGGTATAACAGACCTTGGACCCTCCAGTTAGAAAACGCCGATCAAACATTTATATCTCTTTGTTTGTACAAATAAAATATGTTTTACATGCATAGATCTACCCCTCTAAAATTTGTAAAGTTATTTAATGCACAAACTAAACCAACTAAAAGTTATTTAATGTATAAAATAAATCAACTAAAAGGGACCTTAGACCCCCCCCCCCCCTCCCCAACCGAAAATGTGGATTCGTGTTAAGTTGGTATGAAAAATTTCATACACATGAAGGTATGACGCATAAGAACCCCCTCTCCCCGGCCGAAATAAATTTTCACATTTAGGAAAGGACTTTACGTATTTTTTTCTTTTCAAGAAATTTCTGGTTTGGATTTTTTTTTATCAGAGTGACCCTCTTGGAAAAAATGTCCTATAGATCCGCGCCTCTTTTTTAAATTTACATATATATCAATATAAAAATAAAATTTATTCAAATATGTGTGGCAGTTGGCAGTAAGCAGCTGACAGTTGGCAGTAAGCAGTCAGCAGTTGGCAGTAAGCAGTTGGCTGTCGTATATGGCATTCCATGGGTTCCTGTTTATTTGATCATTTTTAGCATGGGCAAATTTCTTTTGTAATATGTTGCTTGTCTTTTTATGCTCCCCATATATGAGATTCAGGTACATTTATTGGTAGTTTTGATCTGTCCATCTGTCTGTTTGTTTGTCTACAAAACTTTTAACTTTCGCCATAACCTATAAATGGTTGGTGCGAACAGCTGTGACTTTCATAATTCACACTTATAAATATTCCTTGTGAGATCTTTCTTTGAATCTAACATTTTGGATCCATGAACTCGACCTTTGAGTTTGACATGATTTTGAAAATCTTTGACCCTGGCCATAACTTTTGAACAGTTGGTACTGGCTGATGGGGCTTTTGTTTCCTAATGTGACAAGTTCTTTTTATGGATAACAAAGTTTCTTTTGTTTTGACCTCGGAGTTTGACCTACTTCTGAAACACAAGCCTTGCATGGCCATGGGCTTCCATATGATGGCATCATTTACAGCTATTACCTATGGCACGCCAAATTCACAAAAATGAGATAAACATAGTTTCACAGTCGATAAACTAGGTTTATCGGTTGTAAACTATAGCTTACAGACTGTAAACTATAGTTAACAACGTTAATCCTATATTTTACATCCGTAAACCATAGTTAACGCGATAATGTATGTTTCACAACCGTAAACTATACTTAACACTGAAAACAATCATTTGCGATTGCAAAACATAGATTATCTGATAAATACAGTTTCACGATTTGTAAACTATAGTTTACAAACCGTTAACTATAGTTAACGATCTATAAATATAGTTTCACGATTTGTCAAACTATGATTAACAACTATAACTATAGTTTACGATTGTAAACTATATACGTGAATCTATGTTTATCAACAAAATCTATTGTTAACGCTTATTACAGACGGATAAACTTAGATTATCATTCGTAAACTATAGTTAACAACCATTAAATATAGTTTTACAGATGAAAACTATACTTAACGAATTTTTAACTATAGTTTACAGTTTGTAAACTATAGTTTACCGTCGATAAACCTAGTTTATCAATTGTGAAACTAGGTTTATCTCATTTTTGTGAATTTGGCGTGCCATAATTACCTAATCCTATACATTTCTCACAGTGAATAAAATTACTGAAAATTAAAATTGGACTAATTAAATCATTTGACCGAGGATATTAAACTGAACTGTTGCCAGAGTTGAATCTTCAAAGAGGTCGAATAATTCACTTCATATCTTGTTCTTCTGGTAGATGAATTAATCAAAACTGAACTTCATGAAGCCAAATTTGCAATGGAAAGGCAAACAAGTGAAATGCAGCACAGAGGAAATCCTGGCTTAACCATTCTTTCAGGGGAGGAAACCAGCACATCAGAGGAGGAGGACGAGGAGGAAAAAGAGTTCCACTTAGATTCCCCTGTAATGGGAGGGGCACATGGACCCATAATCACCAAATGGTAGGTAACACAAGGAGCGGTTTAAACATTGAGATTCAGCAGCTTTAAAGTAGATCGTATACTACATACATTGATATGCTTCTTCATTTTCTTGAATTTTTTATGCTTCCAATGCAGTTTATGGGTGAATAGTGGTGGTGGGTTTCAAGTATACTCAGCATACTATTGTGTGCCTCAATTACTTCAAACAAATATTTACAGGTTACAGCGCCATTTTTTGATTCAACCAGATAACAACTTGAGTCGAGGTGAGATATATAGGGCTTATATCGAACACTGTCAGAGGAACAATTTTACACACTGTAATCCAGCTACATTTGGTAAAGTCCTGCGATCAGTGTTTCCTGACATCAAAACAAGGAGGATAGGGACAAGGGGAAACTCCAGGTATGATTTAATATAGACTGTTAACTCCTGTAAGTTCTACAGATACACTGGATAGTCAGAGTATGTATAGACTGGTAACTCCTGTAAGTTCTACAGATACACTGGATAGTTAGAGTATAGACTGGTAACTTCTGTAAGTTCTACAGATACACTGGATAGTTAGAGTATAGACTGGTAACTCCTGTAAGTTCTACAGATACACTGGATAGTTAGAGTATAGACTGGTAACTTCTGTAAGTTCTACAGATACACTGGATAGTTAGAGTATAGACTGGTAACTCTTGTAAGTTCTACAGAAACACTGAATAGTTAGAGTTAATATAGACTGTAACTCCTGTACGTTCTACAGATACACTGGATAGTCAGAGTCAGTATACACTGGTAACTCCTGTTAAGTTCTACAGATACACTGGATAGTCAGAGTTAATATAGACTGGTAACTCCTGTAAGTTCTACAGATACACTGGATAGTCAGAGTTAATAAAGACTGGTAACTCCTGTAAGTTCTACAGATACACTGGATAGTCAGAGTTAATATAGACTGGTAACTCCTGTAAGTTCTACAGATACACTGGATAGTCAGAGTATAGACTGGCAACTCCTGTAAGTTCTACAAATACCGTATATACTCGCCTATAAGTCGGTTGTATTTAATAACCTTAAAAATCAGAGGGACTGACTTCATATAATACCATTCATTTTATAGCTTGCCTGTAAGTCCGACATAGAGTTTTGGACCTGAAATTTACTCCCAAAAATCCGACTTATAGGCGAGTATATACAGTACACTGGATAGTCAGAGTATAGACTGGTAACTCCTGTAAGTTCTACAGATGCATTGGATAGTCAGAGTCAGTATAGACTGGTAACTCCTGTAAGTTCTACAGATACACTGGATAGTCAGAGTATGTATAGACTGGTAACTCCTGTAAGTTCTACAGATACACTGGATAGTTAGAGTATAGACTGGTAATTTCTGTAAGTTCTACAGATACACTGGATAGTTAGATTATAGACTGGTAACTCCTGTAAGTTCTACAGATACACTGGATAGTTAGAGTATAGACTGGTAACTTCTGTAAGTTCTACAGATACACTGGATAGTTAGAGTATAGACTGGTAACTCTTGTAAGTTCTACAGAAACACTGAATAGTCAGAGTTAATATAGACTGGTAACTCCTGTACGTTCTACAGATACACTGGGTAGTAAGAGTTAATATAGACTGGTAACTCCTGTAAGTTCTACAGATACACTGGATAGTCAGAGTCAGTATACACTGGTAACTCCTGTTAAGTTCTACAGATACACTGGATAGTCAGAGTTAATATAGACTGGTAACTCCTGTACGTTCTACAGATACACTGGATAGTAAGAGTTAATATAGACTGTAACTCCTGTTAAGTTCTACAGATACACTGGATAGTCAGAGTCAGTATACACTGGTAACTCCTGTTAAGTTCTACAGATACACTGGATAGTCAGAGTTAATATAGACTGGTAACTCCTGTAAGTTCTACAGATACACTGGATAGTCAGAGTCAGTATAGACTGGTTACTCCTGTAAGTTCTACAGATACACTGGATAGTCAGAGTTAATATAGACTGGTAACTCCTGTAAGTTCTACAGATACACTGGATAGTCAGAGTTAATATAGACTGGTAACTCCTGTAAGTTCTACAGATACACTGGATAGTTAGAGTATAGACTTGTAACACCTGTAAGTTCTACAGATACACTGGATAGTCAGAGTCAGTATAGACTGGTAACTCCAGTTAAGTTCTACAGATACGCTGGATAGTCAGAGTTAATATAGACTGGTAACTCCTGTTAAGTTCTACAGATACACTGGATAGTTAGAGTATGTATAGACTTGTAACTCCTGTAAGTTCTACAGATACACTGGATAGTCAGAGTATATGTAGACTGGTAACTTCTGTAAGTTCTACAGATACACTGGATAGTCAGAGTCAGTATAGACTGGTAACTCCTGTAAGTTCTACAGATACACTGGATAGTCAGAGTCAGTATAGACTGGTAACTACTGTAAGTTCTACAGATACACAGGATAGTCAGAGTATAGACTGGTAACTCCTGTAAGTTCTACAGATACACTGGATAGTCAGAGTCAGTATAGACTGGTAACTCCTGTAAGATCTACAGATACACAGGATAGTCAGAGTATAGACTGGTAACTCCTGTAAGTTCTACAGATACACTGGATAGTCAGAATCAGTATAGTAACTGTAAGTTAAGTCCTGTAAAGTTCTACAGATACACTGGATAGTCAGAGTTAATATAGACTGGTAACTCCTGTAAGTTCTACAGATACACTGGATAGTCAGAGTTAATATAGACTGTAACTCCTGTAAGTTCTACAGATACACCTGTAAGTTCTACAGATACACTGGATAGTCAGAGTTAACATAGACTGGTAACTCCTGTAAGTTCTACAGATACACTGGATAGTTAGAGTGTAGACTGGTAACTCCTGTAAGTTCTACAGAAACACTGAATAGTCAGAGTTAATATAGACTGGTAACTCCTGTATGTTCTACAGATACACTGGATAGTCAGAGTTAATATAGACTGGTAACTCCTGTAAGTTCTACAGATACACTGGATAGTCAGGGTATATATAGACTTGTAACTCCTGTAAGTTCTACAGATACACTGGATAGTCAGAGTTAATATAGACTGGTAACTCCTGTAAGTTCTACAGATACACTGGATAGTCAGGGTATATATAGACTTGTAACTCCTGTAAGTTCTACAAATACACTGGATAGTCAGAGTTAATATAGACTGGTATCTCCTGTAAGTTCTACAGATACACTGGATAGTCAGGGTATATATAGACTTGTAACTCCTGTAAGTTCTACAGATACACTGGGCAGTTAGAGTATAGACTGGTAACTTCTGTAAGTTCTACAGATACACTGGATAGTCAGAGTCAGTATAGACTGGTAACTCCTGTAAGTTCAACAGAAACACTGAATAGTCAGAGTTAATATATACTGGTAACTCCTGTACGTTCTACAGATACACTGGATAGTCAGAGTTAATATAGACTGTAACTCCTGTTAAGTTCTACAGATACACTGGATAGTCAGAGTCAGTATACACTGGTAACTCCTGTTAAGTTCTACAGATACACTGGATAGTCAGAGTTAATATAGACTGGTAACTCCTGTAAGTTCTACAGATACACTGGATAGTCAGAGTCAGTATAGACTGGTAACTCCTGTAAGTTCTACAGATACACTGGATAGTCAGAGTTAATATAGACTGGTAACTCCTGTAAGTTCTACAGATACACTGGATAGTCAGAGTTAATATAGACTGGTAACTCCTGTAAGTTCTACAGATACACTGGATAGTTAGAGTATAGACTTGTAACGCCTGTAAGTTCTACAGATACACTGGATAGTCAGAGTCAGTATAGACTGGTAACTCCAGTTAAGTTCTACAGATACACTGGATAGTCAGAGTTAATATAGACTGGTAACTCCTGTTAAGTTCTACAGATACACTGGATAGTTAGAGTATGTATAGACTTGTAACTCCTGTAAGTTCTACAGATACACTGGATAGTCAGAGTATATATAGAATGGTAACTTCTGTAAGTTCTACAGATACACTGGATAGTCAGAGTTAATATAGACTGGTAACTCCTGTAAGTTCTACAGATACACTGGATAGTTAGAGTATAGACTTGTAACTCCTGTAAGTTCTACAGATACACTGGATAGTCAGAGTCAGTATAGACTGGTAACTCCTGTTAAGTTCTACAGATACACTGGATAGTCAGAGTTAATATAGACTGGTAACTCCTGTTAAGTTCTACAGATACACTGGATAGTTAGAGTATGTATAGACTTGTAACTCCTGTAAGTTCTACAGATACACTGGATAGTCAGAGTATATATAGACTGGTAACTTCTGTAAGTTCTACAGATACACTGGATAGTCAGAGTTAATATAGACTGGTAACTCCTGTAAGTTCTACAGATACACTGGATAGTCAGAGTCAGTATAGACTGGTAACTCCTGTAAGTTCTACAGATACACTGGATAGTCAGAGTTAATATAGACTGGTAACTCCTGTACATTCTACAGATACACTGGATAGTCAGAGTTAATATAGACTGGTAACTCCTGTTAAGTTCTACAGATACACTGGATAGTCAGAGTTAATATAGACTGGTAACTCCTGTAAGTTCTACAGATACACTGGATAGTTAGAGTATAGACTTGTAACTCCTGTACGTTCTACAGATACACTGGATAGTCAGAGTCAGTATAGACTGGTAACTCCTGTTAAGTTCTACAGATACACTGGATAGTCAGAGTTAATATAGACTGGTCTACAGATACACTGGATAGTTCAGTATAGACTGGTAAGTAATACAGAAACACTGAATAGTCAGAGTTAATATAGACTGGTATCTCCTGTAAGTTCTACAGATACACTGGATAGTCAGAGTTAATATAGACTGGTGACTCCTGTATGTTCTACAGATACACTGGATAGTCAGAGTTAATATAGACTGGTATCTCCTGTAAGTTCTACAGATACACTGGATAGTCAGGGTATATATAGACTTGTAACTCCTGTAAGTTCTACAGATACACTGGATAGTCAGAGTTAATATAGACTGGTAACTCCTGTAAGTTCTACAGATACACTGGATAGTCAGGGTATATATAGACTTGTAACTCCTGTAAGTTCTACAGATACACTGGATAGTCAGAGTTAATATAGACTGGTAACTCCTGTAAGTTCTACAGATACACTGGATAGTCAGGGTATATATAGACTTGTAACTCCTGTAAGTTCTACAGATACACTGGACAGTTAGAGTATAGACTGGTAACTTTTGTAAGTTCTACAGAAACACTGAATAGTCAGAGTTAATATAGACTGGTAACTCCTGTACGTTCTACAGATACACTGGATAGTAAGAGTTAATATAGACTGTAACTCCTGTTAAGTTCTACAGATACACTGGATAGTCAGACTCAGTATACACTGGTAACTCCTGTTAAGTTCTACAGATACACTGGATAGTCAGAGTTAATATAGACTGGTAACTCCTGTAAGTTCTACAGATACACTGGATAGTCAGAGTCAGTATAGACTGGTAACTCCTGTAAGTTCTACAGATACACTGGATAGTCAGAGTTAATATAGACTGGTAACTCCTGTAAGTTCTACAGATACACTGGATAGTCAGAGTTAATATAGACTGGTAACTCCTGTAAGTTCTACAGATACACTGGATAGTTAGAGTATAGACTTGTAACGCCTGTAAGTTCTACAGATACACTGGATAGTCAGAGTCAGTATAGACTGGTAACTCCAGTTAAGTTCTACAGATACACTGAATAGTCAGAGGTAATATAGACTGGTAACTCCTGTTAAGTTCTACAGATACACTGGATAGTTAGAGTATGTATAGACTTGTAACTCCTGTAAGTTCTAAAGATACACTGGATAGTCAGAGTATATATAGACTGGTAACTTCTGTAAGTTCTACAGATACACTGGATAGTCAGAGTTAATATAGACTGGTAACTCCTGTAAGTTCTACAGATACACTGGATAGTCAGAGTCAGTATAGACTGGTAACTCCTTTAAGTTCTACAGATACACTGGATAGTCAGAGTTAATATAGACTCGTAACTCCTGTAAGTTCTACAGATACACTGGATAGTTAGAGTATAGACTTGTAACTCCTGTAAGTTCTACAGATACACTGGATAGTCAGAGTCAGTATAGACTGGTAACTCCTGTTAAGTTCTACAGATACACTGGATAGTCAGAGTTAATATAGACTGGTAACTCCTGTAAGTTCTACAGATACACTGGATAGTCAGAGTCAGTATAGACTGGTAACTCCTGTAAGTTCTACAGATACACTGGATAGTCAGAGTTAATATAGACTGGTAACTCCTGTAAGTTCTACAGATACACTGGATAGTCAGAGTTAATATAGACTGGTAACTCCTGTAAGTTCTACAGATACACTGGATAGTTAGAGTAAAGACTTGTAACGCCTGTAAGTTCTACAGATACACTGGATAGTCAGAGTCAGTATAGACTGGTAACTCCAGTTAAGTTCTACAGATACACTGGATAGTCAGAGTTAATATAGACTGGTAACTCCTGTTAAGTTCTACAGATACACTGGATAGTTAGAGTATGTATAGACTTGTAACTCCTGTAAGTTCTACAGATACACTGGATAGTCAGAGTTAATATAGACTGGTAACTTCTGTATGTTCTACAGATACACTGGATAGTCAGAGTTAATATAGACTGGTAACTCCTGTAAGTTCTACAGATACACTGGATAGTCAGAGTCAGTATAGACTGGTAACTCCTGTAAGTTCTACAGATACACTGGATAGTCAGAGTTAATATAGAGTGGTAATAAGTTCTACAGATACACTGGATAGTTAGAGTATAGACTTGTAACTCCTGTAAGTTCTACAGATACACTGGATAGTCAGAGTCAGTATAGACTGGTAACTCCTGTTAAGTTCTACAGATACACTGGATAGTCAGAGTTAATATAGACTGGTAACTCCTGTAAGTTCTACAGATACACTGGATAGTCAGAGTCAGATAACTCCACAGAAACACTGAATAGTCAGAGTTAATATAGACTCCTGTACGTTCTACAGATACACTGGATAGTCAGAGTTAATATAGACTGGTAACTCCTGTAAGTTCTACAGATACACTGGATAGTCAGAGTATATATAGACTTGTAACTCCTGTAAGTTCTACAGATACACTGGATAGTCAGAGTTAATATAGACTGGTAACTCCTGTAAGTTCTACAGATACACTGGATAGTCAGGGTATATATAGACTTGTAACTCCTGTAAGTTCTACAGATACACTGGACAGTTAGAGTATAGACTGGTAACTCTTGTAAGTTCTACAGAAACACTGAATAGTCAGAGTTAATATACACTGGTAACTCCTGTACATTCTACAGATACACTGGATAGTCAGAGTTAATATAGACTGGTAACTCCTGTACATTCTACAGATACACTGGATAGTCAGAGCTAATATAGACTGGTAACTCCTGTAAGTTCTACAGATACACTGGATAGTTAGAGTATAGACTGGTAACTCTTGTAAGTTCTACAGAAACACTGAATAGTCAGAGTTGATATAGACTGGTAACTCCTGTACGTTCTAGAGATACACTGGATTGTTAGAGTTAATATAGACTGGTAACTCCTGTAAGTTCTACAGATACACTGGATAGTCAGAGTTGATATAGACTGGTAACTCCTGTAAGTTCTACAGATACACTGGATAGTCAGAGTTAATATAGACTGGTAACTACAGTGGACCTCCAGATATCCGGATGCTTCAGTATCTGGACGACTTTTTATCGGAACGAAATCTGTAAATGTAATTTTGTCTTGTTTAACTGGTGATTCAGGTGTCCGGATGCTTCACATATCCGAACAAATTGACTGGGATCCAAAGCGTCTGGATAAATGAAGCTCCACTGTACTGTAAGTTCTACAGATACACTGGATAGTCAGAGTATAGACTGGTAACTCCTGTAAGTTCTACAGATACACTGGATAGTCAGAGTAACTATAGACTGGCAACCTCAGATATTATTCTGTCAAGTTTTACAGAGTCATTGGATAGTCAGAGTAAGTATAGACTGGTAACTAGTTTCTGTCAGTTCAAGAGTAATACACAATTATTAACTGGATAGTCAGAGAAAGAATAGATTGACTCCTTTTTAGTTCAAATTAAGTTTAGACTCCCAAATTATAGTAATTTCTACAGATACATAACATTGGATATTCAGAGTATATATTGACTGGTTACTCCCTGTCCATTTTAAGGATACATTAGATAGGTACATAAGTATGTGTTTTGTAGTTGGCCCAAGGTCATTTGGTAAAGATCAAGGTAACATTCAGAAAAGTATAAAAGTGTTCAATTTCCTATCCTTTAATATCTTGTAGAAACATTGGAATTCCATACCTGACACAAAGATTTCTTTTGACCTGAGGTGATATGACCCAAGATCATTGTGTCAAGGTCAAGTTCAGATGCTTTGAATCCTAAAATAGGTCCCTAATCAATAACCTCTCCAAATTCATATCTCCTTTTTAAGGTGCTCTGCAAAGAAATAAATTCTGACTACTGAGTAAGGTTGCATTTTCCATTTTTAGCAAGGGATTCAAACCATGTATTGATATTAATAATTTTTGTATATTTTCAGATATCATTATTGCGGCATAGGCATTAAATCTAAGACAATGCGGTAAGATTACTGAAGAAGAACCAGGTAGAAAGATTACATGTGACTGTTTTCATAATAATGAAGTAAAACAAATTCACATTCACATTAATGTACATTACCTCTGCCATACAAATTGGAAATAATTTGTACAGTAAATCACTTTTTATTCGCAAGAACTTTATTTTCGCGTAATTAAGTGAGACCGTATCCTTGCGAAAATTTAATTCTCGCGTATAATAGCATTCCTGAAGATTATATAGAGCACTAACCACAATTCGTGAAAATTTTGTCTCGCTAATCAAAGACAATGACTATCTTGCTAAAATAAGGTGTCGCGAAAATTTAGTGATCTACAGTATTTTCATCTACATTTAATTTTCTCTCTGTTTATCCAAAGGCTGTATAAGTTGATATTTACATTTTTAAATAAATCAATTACAGGGACAATAAAATCGAAGAGGAAATTGCTTCAGTAAGTTTTCAATTAATTTTAATGTCAAAAAAGAATGACATTTTTTTATTCACTTCATCATCACGTCTATATTTTGTTTTTTAATTCTTTTGATATATCATTTAAAGGGAAATGAAACACCGAACATTGTGGTGGAACATTCACAAGAGTTGCTGCCCTTGCTACACAGTTTCCCTACCTGTAAAGACCTTGGACTGCCAGAGACAGAGAATCAAGTGGCAAGTAGCACTTATGTACATAACTACATCTACATATATTTTTTCATATTACTGAACAAAAATTTCCCCAAATTGCCACAAGAAAGATAAGTCATTTAATTTAATTGGTTGTAGAAAATGAGCTGTTTTATTTTACAGGTGGAGGAGTTTCTTAATTTGACATACAGATGGCATGCAGTGAGAATACTTGACTGTATACTTAGGGCTGAATTTTACGAGGTAAAACTGGACAATATTAATTTGTATATTGTTTAAATTTGTACAATTTTGTACATTGTAAAATTCTGTACAGTATTGTGCTTATTGATAAAAATATGCATTGTCTACCATTGATCATGAACTGTTTCAAATCTTAAAGAATTTATAAATATGTGTTTTGCAAATAATCAGGTTTTAATGTGTTCTTTAATATAAAATGGTTGTTTTCAGGTCTTTAAAATCCATAAAATTTTCTCAAGTTTTAAAAGTAAATCAGCGTTTTGTAGATCAAGGATATCATAGGTGAATTCTGGAGGTCAGTGCCTCCCTCAACACTGAGTGCTTTGGCGGTGCCGCTGGTGGTGGCAGCAATAGAAAGATGTGATCAAATCCTCTACAGAACCATCAACGGCATTCTCTTACCCCAGATCTTAACTCTGCTTCCTACGGGGTAAGTTAAAAAGATCAATTCTTAGACTTTAACTGGATGAGGTTTTTGTTGAAAAATTTCATGTTGAACTATCAGTTGCATTTCAAGAAAAAGACATGTATCTTGGAACAAGAAACTTAAAACTACAAGTATATTCCTTGAAGAATATGTCTTTTGTGTCCATTGTTTAAAATTATATTCTGAGAAGAAAACTCGATAGATTTGTTAATGTTTCTTTGTTGAAAGAGACTATTGAAGCTGTGTTGAGGGATGTAAGCAAACAACCTTACTTCCAAAATGAATATTGTTATTCTTAATTGTCTCCGCAGACTTATGCTGACGTTGAAGAACTTTGTAAAGAATCTCCTGTACTGGCATCAAGATGGATTATACAGCATCCCACCTGTCATAAAATCGGCCAAAGTCAAAGGTGGAAATTCAAGGCTTATGAAAGAGTTGTAAAAGATGAAGCATGCATAGGCAAAAGTCATTATTTTTCCTTTCTTCTCAAAGCACCTAATGCATAAATGTGACATGTAAAAATTATCTTAATTTTTTTTTTAGCTTGTCATCAGTTCAAGACAAGTTTTATGAGACAGATTCAGATAAACCACATGAGCATCACGGCCAACATAGTGGTGACCAGTCCTACCATAGCCAGGTCAATCCAGTGGGGATGGCGGCTTTTACAACAATCCCTCAGGAACAACCCCTTACTCAACTCCCAAGATCCCACAGGCCAAAAATTACTCTCTCAGTGTCAGTATTTAAAGGGAAAGAATGTTTAATTTGGGAAATTTTGAAAAAAAATTGCATTTCTTTGACTTGCAGAAGTGTTCAATGAAAAGTAGTGTTGGCAAATCGGACGATTTTTAGTAACCGGTTACTCGCTCTATCTTCCGATCGAGTACCCGGTTACTCGGATGATTTATTCATATGTATCATTTATCTCATCCTTTACTCATCATTTCTAATAAAACACAAAGGTATTGTGAATTAACTTTATTTATCAACTTAAAAAGAACACGCACGAAATATCTTGAATTTTAAATATAATTATAATCAAAAAAATAATTAAATAGAAGAAAAAAATATTCAACGTGTCACGCTATTTTACAATGGCGTTCATCAGTTTTACTTTTCAACCCCCGATATATGTCACGCTCAAAGTAATAATAATTTAGAAATTTGAAGTCACGATAACTCCAATTCACATCAATTAATTTTACAGGTATGGAATCAGCTGTTCTTTAAAAATACTTCCAAGCTATACATGTACTTGTCTTTGGCGGCATCTTGTTAAATTATTTAATGAGGTTATTATAACATGGGTCTTCAAATCTTGTATAACCTGCTGGCAATCAAAGCTATCAATTAAGTGTGAAAACCAATCAATCGTATTAGTGAAACCATAAATCATTAAGTCTAACGGTAAAGAAAATTAGAGAAATATTTATTTGTAGGCTTATAAACAAATTAACATTTTTTTTAGTTATTTACCATATAAGATGCATTTTATCCGAGTAACCGAATAGCAATTTTACTAACCGATACTCGCATCGTTCGACGGTTAACCGGTTAACCGGGTACTCGTTGCCAACACTAATGAAAAGTGATACATGTTTATACATAATTTTAAAGAAGGAACCATTTTTATGTTAAAAAATGCATACAATTTGATACTGAGGAATATTCTTTATATGTTTGGATGAAAAAAGTGGTGTAAAATTATGATGAGTATATTTGTTAGTCTTGCAGGAATATGGCAGTCTCTGGGACAGTTCGTGCTCTCTCTCTCAGCATTTGAATTGGGTGGAGAGTGTTGTCTTGAAGAGCATGGAAAAGGTACTGAAGATTTTATTGCTGTTTTCTGAACTGTAAGAGAGTTTAAATTCTGCAGATATCCTCTATGCAAGTCCATGTTTTAATATTTTGCCTTTTAAGATGCAAATGCAGCACGATTCCTAAATAATTGCAAGAAAAAATTCAGAGAATCAATTTCCTGAACAAGATGATTTGCAGAAAATCATGCAAAAAATTAAATTTGATCAAAAAGCATTTTTTCATCATCCAGTAGTATATTTTCACCATTGATAATGCAAAGATACTGCATTTTGTGTATTTTGAAACAGAAACAATCAGAATCTTCATGTTGATTTTCATGTGACACTAAAGATTATACATATATAAATATACTAGTTTTTCATGAATATATTATGACGTACTTCATATACTCTTGTCTATTCAGATAACCCGCCTCTCCCAGAACAAGCCCACACTGAGGGGAGAACTGGTCCGTCAGCTAGTGCTGGAGTGGGCGTTCATCTGTACCCAGATCCTCAAAATACTCACATTTGTCTGTCCTGCCTCTCTAGGTAATTAAAGGTCAGAATTCAAATCTATAGCGAATTCATGTAAACTCTTTAAATCAAACATGTTGAATTTTTTATAGGACCACTACAGTTGCTGGACATGCTATATAGAGACTATGTGCTTTTTCTGCTGGAGAGATGGGATGTCCATTTGTTGAAATGACCAGACTAGGTGTTATGAGAGGATCTCATGCTACTGCAGTGTTTTAATGTAAAAGAAATATAACCATGTTAGAAATGAACTTGTTTTTGTAGTATATGAATTTTAAAGAATAAATATACATGTACATGTATATGTGCAGTTAATGTTTTTGTACTATTAGATATAAGTATGTTCAAGCAAGAAGGATCACATCTGTAAAAATTAAGCTTTAGAAGTGCTATGCTCCCTTTGGCTCTAGTAATCTTATTTTTGAATCCTGATACGCCTTCCTATCAAAATGCGATTACATTTGCGACAAATGATTATAGGTATCGTAATCTGCAAGTTAGAATATGATTAAAGAGACATATTGCACAGTCATAAATCCTTAAAAATGGAGTCATAGTACCATAGCAAACTTCTCTTGATTTGTGATACAACTTTTTCTCAAAATGCTTGAAAAACAGTCTTGCTGTTCTTCAGGTTTTATAGATTCTGTATACTGTGAAATTGCCCATTTTTGGGGGGATGTGGGGTGGCCGGGTTCAATTTAGAGGGTAAATGTAAAATTTCATATGTCCCACTGCTCCACACTTCCCAATTCAAAATTAAATCCTTCTACCTATTACCTAATCCTTTTTCATCAAACCTAAAAAAAAAAAACCTACAAAAATATGTGACCTCACAGTATTCCAGAAAAAAAATATCTAATACCATACAATTGCCCCAGTCTAACTCTAATGTATATCATTATTCCACCACCATATTCATGATGGTCATAAAAGAAAGCAGACAACCATCCCTTGTTTTCCCATTTAATATTCATCCATACCATTTTTTGCATTTTACACAGTAAACAACACAATGAAATAGACTAGGATATTGCTTGAAAGTAGAGATAAATATGGGTACATGTGTTAAATTCTTACTTCTTCACTGGAATCCTTTAACATCAAGCAAAAAGCAACAATTTTAACATTTTTAACACCAATGACATGTTTTGTGAATTATTAAACTGTTTCAAGTTTTCATGTAGTTTGCTTTTAATATACTAGTACATTACCTATCGTTTTCCTAAAGTTAAATATTTTTAGACAAAAAAAAGTTTTAGAAAACAAACATTACTGCTGCTTAGTTATATTGGGAAAATTTATGCAAATTATGTATTCAATTCTTTATTTTGATCTAATGATATATTAAGAATAATCTATTTCTATTTTGTCAATTGTAGATGTCAACTTATTTATCTTACATAAAAGGGGAGATCATTCTAACTGCAAAATAAACCAGAAGTCTCTGTCGAGACTGTAGCTCTACTGGTTTATACTTAAAACAAAGGAAGAGAAAAGTAGCAGTTGGGAAACTTTAAAACAGCAATAAATAGAAAAATGATCCTTGCCGCTCATCAAAATAAAAAGCGATGCACAGAATTATGTATTCTAGTATAGTCTACTTGTGTGTCAAGTTATACTGAAATTGGACCAAAACTGTACGAGGAGTAGCATTTTGAAAGAATTTCACAGAAATTTCTATTTTTAGTAACCATGGCAACACCGTTCATCGAAATCCAAAACCGATGCACAGAATTACGTATCTTAGTGTAGTCTACTTGTGTGCCAAGTTATATTGAAATCAAACCAAAACTGTAGGAGGAGTAGTGTTTTAAAGGAATTTCACAGAAATTTCTATTTTTAGTAACCATGGCAACATCGTTCTTTGAAATCAAAAACAGAACATTTTGATATCTGTCTGTGCTGTTTCCACAGATATTACACTGCTTGTTGTTTCAAGGGTGTACACTTAAGATATCTGCTTACAATGTATGTATAGACTTTCCCACTTACTTTTGTGTCGGAGGTACTTGTGTGATATTTACCTATTCAGCTTGTCCAGGTTTTCACTGATTGTTTAGTGAAAGTATACATTTGTGATATCTGCCTATGCTGTTTGTATGGATATCTGACTAACTCTTATGTTGTAGTTAACACACGAAATCTGCTAACGCTGCTTGTCCATATTTTACACCTATGTCGTTCTACGTCAAGGCAGCGTTATGTGACGTCACAATAGAGACGTTTGTTTTTACCTGTTGACTTTTGCAACTGTGATATAGGCATAACATTGTTGATAATCAATTACGTACAAAATTTACAAATAGGAAAATTTATTCAATATTAATCACAGTTTTATTTGATTTATGGAGTTCGTTAATATTAGAATTCTCTTCATTTGGTTGATAATTCATAGCAATTTCTATTGTGAAAAAATACCCCGATAATATGCTGATATAATAGTGCAAAAAAGAGATGAAATTCAGGAAAGAAAGCGGCTTAAATCAGGGGAAAATGTTTAATTTTATAATTACCATTAATCGATTTTCTGGAGAAAACTAAGAAAAAAATTAAGAAATGTACTTGTACGGGTGTATCTTTGCTTATTGATTTATATAGTACACGTAGATTTTATTGTATAAAGTCATTCCTAGGTTCTAATAGGCATTGGTTGTTGACAGGGAAATGGGGGGGGGGGAGAGAAACAGAATGAATGGAATGTAGAACAAAAATTATCTATTTAAATTGTTCCTAATCAAAACAAAATACTCGTTTTCCGCAAAATAGTTTTATATTCAGGTGTTTGTCAGTGCTTACTTACCCTTTTTAGTGCAGAAAGGTCAATATTTATGACACAAGAGTACAAAAATAAAAGGAAACGTCATATTTCTCGTTTATTTTATCATAAAGGTATACTTTTTTCTTTGTTGAAATAAAGAGACGAATCATTTCTTTCAAAAAATATGAATTACAAAATTTTCACACAAAGACTTTTTAAGATATTACCTGTTATGCATGACGGAATTGTAAAAAATACGACAAGAAAAATGGGGTAATACTTACATTGTGCTCCATTATAATTTTTCATGCAAGATGGATTTCAATGAATTTGCCTCCATTTTAAAGATATAAGTCATATAAATTAAATAAGTGTTGATTTTGAATATGATTTGACATTTTTGGTTCTTTTTAGCACATATTTGGGGTAGAACAATAATGACTGAAAATAATCTATTTTTAGCATTTCACACTGTTTTTGCGTGTGCTCATGTGTAAAAATACGCATATAAAGGTATTGTTTTTAATACCTAAAAATTAAGAGCAAGTGGTCAGGAAAGAAATGTCAAAGTTTTGAAAATTTCACACAAAGACTTTTTAGACATAGGTCCCCCCTTATATTGAAATCAGACCAAAACTGTAGGAGGAGTAGCATTTTGAAAGAATTTCACAGAAATTTCTATTTTCAGTAACCATGGCAACACCGCTCATCAAAATCAAAAACCGATGCACAGAATTATGTATCATAGTGTAGTCTACTTGTGTGCCAAGTTATAATAAAATCGGACCAAAACTGTAGGAGTAGCATTTTGAAAAATTGTTTACAGACACACAGACAGACAGACGGACGGACGCCAGACGCATTACTATCGCATAAGCTCTTCTGGTCTCTGACCAGTAGAGCTAAAATGACAGAATTGGAATTTGTCAGCATACAGTGTTGACAGCTTCCTTACAACACAATTTTAAATGGTCAGCCAAAAATGGAGAAAATCAATGGTTTAACATAATTTTAGATAAGGAATTACATGTACGCCTATTTAATTAACTAGCATTTCCCAAATTCCTCCTTTTTCTATAGTTCGAATAAGCTTTTCCAGTTTCTTGCATAATGTGCAATAAATGGCATCACTACATGTACATTCAACAAAAACAAGGTTCAACAAACTAAGTCAACAAAGCTAAAACATAGGTACAAGTCATTCTATACAAGTTTTGTTCATAATACAGCCATAAACCAAAAAGAAGTTTACCACCATTTTCTGACAAACTATAAAATTATTCATTTAACAATTAAATTTGCTTCAATTTGTATCTTTTCGAGGTTGTTAATCTTGATTAGAACATCAGCAAATTACATTGTCAAATATTTCGACGATGAAATTTAAAAATATATATACTGACATTTCATAGCACTATTCTAAAAATCATAAACAAAAATTCTTACAGGAAAGTATTGCCTGAGTATTTATATGACATAGAAATATATAGAATCTATCAGTAATAGGAAAAAAATATTGTTACTTGAAATGATCTTCCTATCATGAACATATCAAGGTCATCGAATTGAAGAATGTTAAAAAATCATTACCACAAAACCGTATTGCACTTTTCCATTTTTTTCTTTCTGTTTGTTTTTCATTTTGATTTGAACTACTCCATATGTACATAAAATATTCAACACATTTCAACTTAATGTTTTATAAATCCCTATTAAAAAATACTGATTAAAAAAAAAATACAAAATAATCTTTCATTTGCAAAGGAATGCAATTCACTACAATGCACTACATTGTAATAAAAAAATGCAATGCATTTCAAATACATGTACACAGACCTTTACTAAAAATATACACTATTTCAAATCAAATGATTTGTATGAGTTATCTGTCTTTTCCTGAATTTGCATTCAATAAGAATTCAATTTAGAAAGTATTTTATACTAGCATTTTCTACAATTCCATTTACTGACACACATCCAAAGATCATTCACATAAATAATTAAGTCATGATTAATTACAAATAAATGATAGACAGATCTTGTCCTTATAATGTTACCACTACACCGAAGTTCACAGAAGCACTGCTTACACATAAACTCATAGCTTCTAATGTCCAGAAATGTCAAACAGTTCATAATGAACTTAATATTATCAGCTGTAAAATGCCCATTGTTTTGCCCCTATATCTGTCTACATATTTACTGAAATCCATAGACTTCCACCACTTTACAGGTGAAATCCTCGTGAGAACACAGAGGGGGGTTATCAAACGTATCACAGTGTTCTGTCCGGCAGTGAAGGAGATTCTCGTCCAATTGAATAGCTTCACCATTTCTAAAAATAGAAATCAAAGTTTAAAAAAAATTAAATGTCTACCTAATCAACACTGTTTATTCAAATCAACAACTGATATCTTTCACATACATATCTATCCTTTACATTTCAGAATTGGTACAATTTCAAGTAAGTACTTCCAGTAAACTCATGTAGAATTGAGTCTCCGACTTACCCTCCCCCCACAGTAAGGATCTTGCTGTCCCCCGCGAGGAACATGTTGGCGGTGCTGGGGATATTTTCCTCTCGAAGCCCCACCCACTCATACTTCTTTTTCTCTGGGTAGAGCGTGAAGACGAAGGTCTCTCCCGTACCAAAGTAATACACATTCTTATTGCTCTTCTTTCTCTCTCTCCAGTACATTGAACAAAATGCTCCAAACACCTGAAAAAAAGTAACATTTTTAAAATGCATTCTTCAACCGAATATTCATTACATTTTGTTTACATATCATAAGCATTTGGTATTTATAAGGTGGACAAATTTTCACAAAGTCTGCATTATCTTTAAAAATTTTTTTTTTTTTTTCAGGAGCAGACTGTCTTGTGCGATCATGCAAAAATAAAGTTCTTCCAAATGAAGTATTTTCCGTTCTGAACAGATTTTAACTGTGTGGATTTACTTTATGTTAAAAGCTGTATGCTTTGTTAAGGAGTTAAAGCTGAACATGATTCGTAAAAAGAATGTGTCCGCCATTTTTGTTCTCGAGTCTCGCTCCTCTACAGACCCCTATAAATAGGGCAGAAATTATTCACTATTCAGTGTAATCAGTCAACACCGGTGTAGACGGACGTATGCTATACATGACTCGGTAGCAAGAATAATAACGTAATACTTCATCTAATGCAGGAAAGTAAGATACCAAATAAATTTACAATTATAGTTGAATAAGTCAGTGCAGTATACAAACAACACAGATAAACGTAACTGCAATAAAATATAAACAAAGGCAATGCAAGATGTGGGTCGCCATTCCACGCTGACACCCGTGACAATAAAGCAGTCAGGTGTAACGAAAGTGACGAGTATACCCTAGTATTGATGTATCGTAGATAATGCTATCGAAAATGGTGTATGCCTATTTACGAGTCATGTTCAGCTTTAATCATATACATGACTTTTGGGGCTTATATACATACCTCATCAGTGGTGGTCTTTATGAGGATCAGTGTGGGCTGGTGATTCTCGATTCGTGTGTACAGGGTCCTCAGGCTTGTCCCGTGTTCCTCAGAAGTGTATAACAGTTCAGGCTGACACACTGCACATCTAGCCGGCAGCCACGACCATATGGTGTACAACTAGAAAAAAAAATCAGAGTTTACAGTACATAAGCAACCAGGACCAGATTGTGTACAGCTAGAAAAATCAGAGTTTACAGTACATACGCAGCCACGACCATATGGAATACAGCTAGAAAAAATCAGAAATTAATATATTTGAAGTGTGTGCTCAAGAGACAATTTTTAATATTCTCTGCACTACATGCATGTATAAATTCAAAGAAAGTTTTTTGAAGCATTTCAATACAACGCAGCACTGTTAAGGCTTACTATGAAAAATCAACAGAAAATAGACGTGCAAAAAAAGTGAACTTTTTAAAACAGAATTTATTTTTATAAAACTGATTTATTATCAAATAACTTAAATACTTCTTGAAATAACATAGTGTAACCCACTCTGTACTGAACAAAGTTTGGTCCCATCAATGGACAGTCACGTGATAAATGTCAAGTAGGTCATTAACAAATTTCAATATTGCAAGGGCATACCCTAGTTGAAATTAAAAATTTAAGCTATGAATTGTTTCTATATACTTTGTATTTTCTGGAAAGTGCTGCTGCTTTAAATAGAATTAGTGTTTTATTAGTAAAAATTTCAAGTAAATAGGCTAATGTCGAAATATATTTGACCTTTACCAAGTATTTTGTGTACTTATAAAGTCACGCTTTCGATTTAAAGAAAGCAGCAGCACTTTTCAAGTTAGAATCCTTTATTTATTAGCAAAAAATGGTAAAGATCTATTGAGTGTATGCCCTTGCGTAAAGGCGAAGGCACCTCGATGTTAAACATGCCCAACCTGTACGCATAAACATGCTATGATTAATTAAATACACTCTCTCGATAATTATTGAGTAATTGCAATAAACAAACGTTTTATATTGGTATAAATAGTCTACCTGAAATCTGTAAGTAATATATTCTGTTTATTAATAGAATGTATTTTTTGCTGCTTAAATATTACTTTATCTGCCTCTCACAACACATGAAATACGTCATTTTTTCCAAAATGACGTCATGTCGACAAGTTCCTTGAGATCAGTGATTTGTTTAAAACCTGCTATGTGGGATTTAACCATCTACTTTTTTTTATAGCATTGAAAAGTTTCAATGTTGTTTATTATGCTAATACAGTTTAAAGTTGCAAATCATTTAATTTTCAGGTATTACATGTATGAGGAAAACTATTTTGTGTGATGTCACAGTTAACTTTTCCTGTATAAATTAGACCCCGCCCCCTTTTTTCAGCCTTAACAGTGCTGCGAATGTAATTCTTACTGCAGATTCAGACTAAAGCAATAAAAAAATAAACATAAATAGTTGGCATTTAGGATATAATGGAAGACACAATCAATAATTATGATTTATCAATTTCTATGATACATGTATAGACTTATTACTTATGGACACTTATTATACCCTTACCTAAGACTAATGTGGAATTTTTTAAATTTTTGGGGTCAATGTTCATGGGCATGCACAATAACTAGTTCATACTCCATAGGGACATATTGTCATACAAATAACTCAATTTCTTGTCATACAAATAACTTGATTTCACAGATGATTCAATGAATCAGTTAACTGTTTGTAGATAAAATAATCTTTGTGCAGACCTTAATCTGTGAGAAGGGTTACAATGAAATCCATCCCTCCGAGCAAATGTTATCCCATACTATTGTGGAGTTATTGAAGAATCTCTTTTTTCAGCAATTTTATTTATCTACACCTAAGGAATATTTTCTTCTTTTTTTTTTTAATGAAAATTATTTCTCTTAATCAATCCAAGGCTCTGAACTAGTTAGAACTGTTTTCCAGAGCTATCTGTACGAAAAAGCACATGAATTAAACTTTTTATGTATCACAGAAGGCTTATACACATTCTAGGAGCCTATGCTATTAATTTTAATGTACTACAAACATCAAATTATTAAAGATTTTCTTTGCTCTGTTTGCTTGTTTATATTTAGTCATGTTGTATGGCTTAAGGGTAGATCGTGTCTGTAATGCTAGTGTTACTGAATATCTAGGCTGATGGGCTTGGTAAGTACATAAGTTCTGTGAAATCCATAGTCATTTTTAAGTTTCTTCAAAATAGCTGGAGAACTGCTTCATAAATTCAAATATTAAATGTATATCTTATAATGACATTTTTTTTTTTTTTTTTTTCTTTTTCATTTTATTAAAATGAAAAAAATATGAGAAAATGACATTTTATCACAGTCTTTCAATTGAATAAAAAAATCTCTTCTTCTGAATTTCTAAGAATCAAGGTGTGTTATTATTGAAAAATAAATAATTGGAAGATTTTCCCACCTTTTTGCATGTTAGTTTCCTGCGGACTTTTTCAATTGTTTTATCATCGACAGTGTCGTCCTCATCAACAGATGAGACACTTATCGTCACACAGTGTTTGTGAAACAGCTTTTTAAAAGGCTTCTTAACTATTTTACCAAGCTTCAAAGGCATTTTCACAAAGAACAAACAGCAGATAATGTAATTTTGGTAACAAAAAAAACAAAACAAAAAAAACACTAGGTCCAATGTCAGAGTTATGTCCCTTTACAAAGAATCTAGTTGTTTTCTTTGTCTCTTGCTACCAGTGAAGATGTATACCAAACACTTGTCTGTAGATACGCGATCACTCTGTGGAGCTGATGCATGGCTTCAGCATTGTGGTTAAACAGAGGTTCCCTTTCCTTCATTAAATCACACTTCCTTAAAATAGTAACTGAGACTCCCCGAAATATGTTTTTTTAAATGTTCCAAATAAACTATAGAAGAGAAAACTAAATATACTACCGGTACTATAAAATCGAAAACTAACAGTACACACACTTCTCTCTCTCTCCAGTGAAATACAACTGCAGAGTAATGCTATAGAACAAATACCCCACCAATCGGAGAAGCTCTCCCAATCAGGGGCCTTACTTGGGGGTTTCAATTTCCTGCTTCTGAAAACAATCATCTTCCTCATAGTCCACAAAGGGAATTTCAAGATAGAAAATTTCTGTAAAATTTAGTGTGTTTCAGCAAATAAAAATTCTCAGAATTTTAAGTCTACATTTACAATATTCCTTTACAGGCCCCTTTTTGATGATCTACGTCTGATCTACATATGATCTACGTATATATTACAACACTTGCTCCAAATTCTACCCAGGACCAAGACCTGTCAAGTGCTGATCAGTCATTTAGCACATAACATTACAAGTCTCTCAACAACCCAATATCAGTAGTCATATTCCAAATAACAAACACGGACAATGTTATGTCTGTATTTGCCCTCAACCTGTCCATATAGGAATGTACAGTCTGGCTATATATATCCCAGTTTCCAGTGTCTTCTTACTTGTACAAAACAAGACTGTTTTTTTTTTTATTTTTGCATCATTTCTTGGGGTAAAAGAAATGAAATACTTTAACCAATTTGAGAAATAAGATCATTAACAAAAGGCCTAATTTTACTTTTTCTTTCATAGAGAACAAATATTATTAATAATATAATTTACAACAATGAACAATATAGTAACACAATATTTCTCTCAAAGAAAATCTTTAAAATACGCTTGAATTATATGTTGTATATTTGTAGCAATTATGAATCAAATAAATAGAGTTTTAAACATCTCCAAACTTAATGTTTAAACTCTGGACTACACCAAGGCTGCAAAAGTCATTGCTTGCCTAACCCCCCTCCCCCTTTCCCACTCCAACCCAATATAACAAAAAATGTCAAAATTAACAATGAAGGCAGAGAACACGGATTCAAATTCTAAATGAAAACAACATTACTTTATGTATCTACAAAAGATATCCTCCCAAATCAAAGCTAAACAGGAATTTAACAAAAGTTCTTGAATGCATAGCAGCTGGAAACAATTTACTGTAACACAAACAAGCAATGAGGAAAAACATTTTTCTCCTTAAAGCTGATGTGTTGGGTTGACAATTTTTTTTTTCATGCTCACTTACATCCTCCAATAGAACAACCAGGCTTTCCACAGTGGGGAAAATGAGCAAGCCCAGAGACCTACTGCGAGTCTTCCGAGAAAAAAAGCAAAGATTGATCAACAAACAGGGCTCTCCATAATGAAATCATGGGACAGAGGTTGCAATTTTTTTTTAATTTTAATTTTTGGTAAAAAGCTTAAATGTATTCTTCGAGCTTCTTCATTTTATAACTATATGTAGACTGTTTTAGAAATTTATTAGTACGATTCTCTGTTATCCTTGACCTTTCAGTAAGACATGCCATACGGCTCATATGGCAAAGAGGTGGGGCTTAAAGTCATCTCATCGTTGTCAAAAACAATTTAAATTTGCTGATGTTTTAAATTTCTTAACCAGTAAGGATTTGAGAGACGCTAATTATGTAGCTTTGAGAATATCATGCCTCACTGCAAGTCCAAGGATGACAGAATATTGTACTAATGGTGTGTATTGCTCAAAAAATGGATAAAAAATTCTAGAAAATAAATATTGGACTTGCTTTGAATCTTACCATCTCATTACTGGTGATAATGCTGGACTGAGCTTGATCAAATACGATGCGACCACTGAAGGAATGGGAGTGGGGGACTCCATTGAAGGAATGTGTGGAGGCAGACTTCTGTATCTCCTGCTGGATATGGTGCTGGCTGCTAACCGTCATCTCATGACGAAGCTGTAACTTCTTAATTTCCTTCTTCTTCAAGCCTCTGATCCTGAAGCCCCTCTGATAATAAAACAGATAAATGTCAGACAATAAAGATGGACCATACCTATCTGAAAACTATCTGATGTGTTATAATTGGTTCAGTTTTATTCTCCCTTGAGAAGCAAATTTTCTTTAAAAATGTTTACAAAGGACAAAGCTTTTCTTGTGTGAAGTATTCATACATGAAATAAGTCATTATCAACATAAAAGCAAAAGTTGGAAAATGTGAAAAGTTCCGTCAAATAAGAGGTCAAGGTCAAATATGACATTGACAATCACCAAATTTATATATGTAACTTGAATTACCTAGGTATACCTTTATTTAACTACAGTTAATTCTCGATAAACCGCCACCTTTTGTAATTTAGAAATCATGGCGGTATAACGAATTTGGCGATGAATCGAATTTCCCATCTTTTTAGAAAACAAGAAGTGGAGTTACCGTTCTTAGAAATACCATTCAAGCGTTTCTATTCTTATAATAAAATGTACATGTATAAAGACATATTTTTGATTGAAAATACTTCCAGTATTTTTTTATGTACAATTTCACTAAAACAAACTGTGCAGTAATGAAATAAAGACAAGTCATGTGTATTTAATATTATGTAAATCTGCACGTCTGATATTAAAAAAAAAACAAGCAGGGTCGATCGTCGTGATTTATTGCTGAAAGTACGTAAAATGAATTCTTGAATAAATTCATCGTTTATGGCATCATTGTTAATGAAACGTTCACAATTCATGCCGTATAATTATTTTTTCAGCAAACTTTGCATTAATTAAAGCAGACATCATCAAAATAATATCGTTATCCGCGCACTATAACAACGACCGCTTTCATGGCGAAGCCATGACTAAATGATTTTTATTAAACAAAAAACAAAATTATTATAACAGTTCATGTTAAAATTATTATTTATTTTATTCTTGTTTAATTACTAAATTGCATGTACCTTGTCTGCCATTGCATGCTTTAAAACAGGGATAGCGTCAACTAATTAGCCGTGCTTCACTGACCGTTTGAATCTGTGGCGGTATATCGAGATAATTGACACTTAAAAATGGACGTTTGTTTTGAAAACAGGGTGGCGGATGGCGGAATTATCGCCATTCGATTCATTGACTGTACAGTCAATTCTCGAATTATCGCCATTCGATTCATCGCCATTTTCGCAATACCGCCATGATTTCCCCAGAACGTTTTTCCTGCTATATAAAATTCTCTTTATAGCGCCAAATTCACATACCGCCATCCGCCACCCTGTTTTCAAAACAAACGTCCATTTTTAAGTGTCAATTATCTCGATATACCGCCACAGATTCAAACGGTCAGTGAAGCACGGCTAATTAGTTGACGCTATCCCTGTTTTAAAGCATGCAATGGCAGACAAGGTACATACAATTTAGTAATTAAACAAGAATAAAATAAATAATAATTTTAACATGAACTGTTATAATAATTTTGTTTTTTGTTTAATAAAAATCATTTAGTCACGGCTTTGCCATGAAAGCGGTCGTTGTTATAGTGCGCGGATAACGATATTATTTTGATGATGTCTGCTTTAATTAATGCAAAGTTTGCTGAAAAAATAATTATACGGCATGAATTGTGAACGTTTCATTTACAATGATGCCATAAACAATGAATTTATTCAAGAATTCATTTTACGTACTTTCGGCAATAAAAAAAAGCACCCAGCTTGTTTTTTTTTTAATATACACGTGATTTACATAATATTAAATACACATGACTTGTCTTTATTTCATTACTGCACAATTTGTTTTAGTGAAATTGTACATAAAAAAATACTGGAAGTATTTTCAATCAAAAATAGGTCTTTATACATGTACATTTTATTATAAGAATAGAAACGCTTGAATGGTTTTTAAAGTAATCCACTTCTTGTTTTCTAAAAAGATGGGAAATTCGATTCATCGCCAAATTCGTTATACCGCCATGATTTCTAAATTACAAAAGGTGGCGGTTTATCGAGAATTAACTGTACTTGAATTGGCTTTATTATTAAGCTATTAAATCACACATATTTCTTAAATTAGCACTTTCTTTCAAAGTGTACCAAAAATAGCACTTTGATACAGTGATAATTTTCAACTTTGAACTGATCTGAATACACTTCATGAAATTCTAACAGATTTTTTGAGATTAAACAATTACTTATTAAATGAAATAACAAAGAAGACCAGCAATGGTTAACATGGTTAATATGAAATAATTATACTTATCCATGCTCCATTGCACACAAGGAGGTGTACAATTACTTAAACAATGGAAATACATATTTTCCTTAAAAGCATTCAAATGCAGCAATGCTTAGTCCATCAATGCTCTACATTGCTATTTGAAAACTCCCTAGTAAAAATACTAGTAGTGACATATAAATTTTTGTTCATTTAAATAAAAGGCAAAATTTTGAAAACTTAGCTGAATAAATTAGGCTTTTTCAAGAGCCAAATAAAGCTACAGTAGGTTATTCAAACTACATAGCTAAGTACTGTGATTTTTGTACCTGAATGCTGAATTTATATGGAATTTGATGAATTTATTTTAAAGTTGTTTTTTTTAATATTAAATGGCAAATGGCAATGCAGAATGAGGAATTAGAAGAGTCAAGGTCACACAGTCAAAAGGTCAATGACAGAGACTCATGACACAACTAGACTGCTCTTACCAATCTTTGTATGAAGCTTGATAAAATATATAATTATATAATATGTTTATATTTACTACCTTCAGCAGTTTCTCTACAGGGAACGGCATATTGGTACAAAATTGTCGAATTCTTTCAGACACAGTGAAAGTATCTGTAATTACCCCATGGTGGTGCTGTTTAGCTGAAACTGAAATCAAAAGAGAACCACTCAGTTATTACTGTTCTAGTTTTCCCCCCTTTCATCATGTTCACTGTAAAAACAGCTCATCTTTTTGTAGATTAAAACAACTCACCTACAATAATAATCTTATCATTAATACAATTCATATAATGATTACTTGAATTCTTTTAGTGGACTTTTGAAGAAAAACCTGATCATGTAGAACATAGAGGCGATTAAAGGGACATTAGGAAATCATTTTAAAAATGGGTGGGAAAGGAAAAGGCAAAGAAAAACAATAAAAAAAACGAAAAAAGAAAAATAGTGAAGATACGAGCATAACAACAGATAATGAACAATTAGATCAATCAGATTATGACTCATTACCTTTGAGTGAAGTTATTGGGCAGGCCGAAAGAGTCCTATATGGAGACAGTGCTAAAATATCACCCCCAGGCCCAGCCACATCCACCCCTACCGGAAATTTTGATCACGTTTTTAGGGAATCAAATGACAAAATAGTGAAGCAAATCAGAGATACTAATAGAAAACTAGACACTGCGATCAAAAAGTTGACTAAGCTTGATTCAATCGAACAAACGCTATTTTCTCTAGATTCAAGACTATCACAGGTTGAAACGAAGGTGTAAATTATTGAAAATAGGGCTAGTGTAGCAGACAAAAAATTGTTAAATGTAGAAGAAAAAACTACGGAAGTAGAAAGATGTGCTAGTTTCGTATCCAATAAAGTAGACGATTTTCAGAAGGTACTACAATATGTTACAAGCTGAAAAAATCCAAAAAGAACTATTTGATGAAGTAAGAAGAGACGTGAAACAATTACAAACTGAAAAAGAAGATATAGGACAGCTTAAAGACACAGTGGTGGACCTTCAGTGGCGTTCCATGAAATACAATTTAGTGTTCACTGGTTTAGCTGGAGAATCGAAAGATGAAGATACCGAGACTAACTACGAGAATTCATCTATTATGAATTAGGGATTGACTGGAGGCTGGAATTTGGTAATGTTCACCGTTTCGGGAGGTTTCAACAGAATAAAAACAGACCAATTGTGGCAAAATTTCTATACGAAAGTGAACGAGTCAGTGTTTTGGAAAGGGCGTACAGATTAAAAGGATCGGGATATGGTATCTATGAACAATTCCCCAGCGCAACGTAGAAAACAAATTTACCCAATCGTGAAGCAACTACGAAACCAAGGACATTGAACAAAGCTTGTTAAAGATCGGCTATATGTAAATGGTAAACCATACAGAACCGACAATAATGTCAACTTTGGGCAAGCACAGCTAAAGGGGTGGCAGTCTACGCAACTACAACAAAGAAACGCAGTCGTACGACCTACTGACACAAACGTTCAGCCACTGGACAGGGAATGTTAACAAAGGTTTAAAAACTAAGTTGGACGATCTTGAATTTGTTGATATCATAAAAGCGTATGATATAATCATTTTGTTAGAATGTTGGATAACAAATAATGATCATTTGGAATTACAATGTTATGATAGTTACATTTTTCCAAGAACAAGTGGAAAAGGAGGTGGTGTTGTAATTTTTGTTAAAAGCATTTTGGATATAAAAATATCAGTAGTTGATCCATTTTGTAACTCTGTGGTGTGGCTACAAGTTGAAAATAAGTTGAACGTGCATTGTAAACCAGTCTTTATTGCTGCATGTTACATACCGCCAGAAAACAGTGTGTTCTATAAAAAAGAAAATGTTGATTTTTTTCAATATCTTGAAGAATCTTATTCTGATTTTTATAACAAAGGCTGCGTATATGTCACAGGCGATTTTAATGCTAGATGTGGAAATCTAGAAGATTTTATTCTTAACGATGTATTGGAAGAATCGTTAGCGAATAACATACAGTTTTTGGTAAACTACGACACTAAGCGTGCAAACGAAACTGGTAGATTTAGTATGGATAAAGGAATTAATAATTTTGGTAAAAAATTGATAAATTTGTGTCAAACTACAGGATTACGCATTGCTAATGGTAGAAAGGAAAATGATTGTAATGGCAATATTACTTTTTTAATGCAAACGGTACAAGCACTATAGATTATTTATTGACGGACATGAATACATTAGATACTTTTTTTAATTTCCAAACGGGGAAATTTAATACTTTTTCTGACCATGCACCTCTTACTTTTGTCATAAAAACTAATTTCTTAAATACAAGTGTCGAGTATACTGAAAATACCAAAATAGGCAATGAATATGAATCTAGGATTTCATGTAAATCAGTCAAATGGAAAGAAGGTTCTGATCTTGATGCTATTAGTACAATAAGAGAAATTCAGGATGTTTTTCTTTCATATGTCGATAAATCATTCAATACACAAGAGGAGATAGATATTTCTGTGGAGAATTTCAGTAAGACATTGTGTGATATCATGACACCTTTTTGTAAAGTCACTGGAGGTCTTGTACAAACAGATCAGAAAATAAGTAATGATAAACCCTGGTTTAAAATGACATCTGTAAGTCTAAATATAAAGACTATACAGAAAGTCTGCACGTATATTTAATACTAATAAATGTTCTGTGAACAGAAACTCACTTTGTGATAAGAGACGTGATTTTAAAAAAAACTGCAAATAAATATAGGCACATCTATGAAAGATACCAGGGAAATAACATGGAATATTTAAGAAAGCATAACCCAAGACAATTTTTTAAGTTATTTAAGAATAAGAAAAAACTAGATAATGATATAACAGCAGAGCAATTTTTTGAACATTTTAAGAGTGTTTTTGAGAACAAGAACGAATCTAACGTTACTGACGACGGTGTTGAACACCACTCAGCTTCGTGTTATGAGGAACTAGATACGTGTATATCAGAATTAGAAGTCGAGAGAGCAATTTTGAAACTCAAATGTAACAAGAGTAACGCAGATGATGGTGTAATTAATGAATTTTTTATTAAATGTAAAGAAGTTATGATTCCTATTCTATGTAAATTATTTAACAATATTTTTGATTCTGGTATGTATCCAGATAGCTGGTCAAAGGGATGTATTGTACCAATTTTCAAAAAGGGCGGATTACAGGACCCAAATAATTACAGAGGCATAACTTTGGTTAGCTGTCTAGCGAATCTATTTACGTGTATTTTGAATAATAGATTGTTAGAATGGGACCAAAAATATAATATTATTACAGACGCTCAGTTTGGTTTTAAGCCAGGTGCAAGTACAATTGACGCTATTTTTATTTTACAAAGTTTAATTAACAAGACATTGAGAAACAAAAAGAGATTATATTGTTGCTTTGTAGATTATTCAAAAGCTTTTCATTTAATTAACAGATCCAAGTTATGGTACAAGATACAAACAGAGGGTATACAAGGAAAAATGTTATGTATTATTAAGTCGTTATATAAGAATGTTAGAGCCTGTATAAAACACCAAGGTACATTGACTGATACATTTCGTATATCTGCGGGTGTTCTGCAGGGAGAAATATTATCGCCTGTACTATTTTCCATGTATCTAAATGATTTTGAACGACATTTTATTGAAAATAATTGTGCCTCAGTTGAACTTCAAATGATTAATTTGTTTCTAATAATGTACGCAGATGATACAGTCTTAATAGCGGAATCAGTTGAAAGTTTACAAGAAATGTTAAACACTCTGTATAGCTATACAAAAGAATGGAATTTAACTGTAAATGTACAAAAAACGAAAATTGTAGTTTTTAGAAATGGAAAGTATGTAAGAGATGAAGAAAAATGGACATATAATGGTAAAAATTTGGAAGTTGTAAATCAATTTAATTATTTAGGATTATTATTTAACTATAATGGGAAATTCTTATCTACACAGAAGCAGTGTGCAACACAAGGTAACAAGGCATTGTTTAGTATTTATAGTAAGATGAAAGATTTAAATTTCAATGTTGAGACTCAGATCAATGTTTTTGATACTTATGTTAAAAGTGTGTTATGCTATGGAGCTGAAATTTGGGGTTTTCACAAAGGTCCAGATGTTGAAAGAGTACATATTAATTTTTGTAAAAGAATACTTGGTGTAAGAAAAAATACCTGTAATAGTGCTGTTTATTATGAGTTAGGTAGAATACCACTAGATATATACAGAAAGCTCAGAATATTAAAATATTGGTTAAAATTAAGAAAAAGTAATAATTGTATTTTGAGTGCATGTTATCAAGATTTATGGTAGAGAATAAAGATCCCTGGGTTATGAGTATAAAAAATGAAATGTACACTCTAGGTTTAGCTGACTTGTTTCATAGTAATCAAAAAGATAGCATTTTATTAGACATAATATACAATAGAATGTGTGACGTTTTTAAACAGAAGGCTATATCTGATATATGTAAGTCACCAAAATGTATGTTTATAAGCATTTAGTTGATTATTTTTGTTTACAAGGTTATTTAAAGAAACCCATCCATGTAAAATATAGAAAAGCAATTTCATGTCTCAGACTTTCAGCACATAATTTAAAGATTGAAACTGGAAGATACGAGAACTTAATAAGGAGTGATAGGAAATGTGTTCTGTGTAATTTAAATGATATTGAAGACGAATTTCATTTTTTATTCATTTGTCCAGTTTTTCACGATTTAAGAAACAAGTTCATCAAACATTACTACTCCCGAAGACCAAGTGTCTTCAAGTTAATACAATTATTCTGTAGTACAAATACGAAAGATGTAAATCAGTTAGGGAAATATATATATCATGCTAATAAATTACGAATGGAATGTTTAAATCAATTAGCTATATAATAAAATGTATGTATTACTAGTTGGTAAGTTTATAACATGTTATTGTACTGTGTATGTAATTGATAAATACAATGTTGTACTTATGATGCTTATGGGATGTACGTCCCACGGAATAAAGAACTGAACTGAACTAAAAAAAAAAATGTATATACAATTAAGAAATCAATAAAACATTAATTATACCAGTCAACAGGGGGAAAGGGGAGGCTACTGTCAGGAGTATACTAAACATTGTTCTGTTACTCTGAGACTCTGGATCATTAACTTTGCTTACTTATTATGTTAATGAGTATGGCTAGAATAATTACTTACTTCAGTAAATTGAGTTTAATGAGATTAGTTAATTACCTTAGTAATTTGTAAATGAGTATGGCTTGAGCAGTTACCTATTTGAGTATTTTGTAAATGAGTATAGCTAGAACAATTACTTACCCCAGTAAATTGAGTTTAATGGGAACACTTAATTAAATGAGTATGGCTTGAACAGTTACTTACATGTATCTGAGTATTTTGTAAATGAGTATAGCTAGAACAATTACTTACCTGAGTATTTTGTAAATAAGATTAGTATAGCTAGCACAATTCTGTATAGCACTTTCACTCCTTCAACTAAATAGCAGTCCAGAATTCTCACCTGTAAAGTAAACCCCAAAATTCAACATTATAGCTGAGGTTCTTTTCAAATGAAAACTTTAACAAATGTCTAGTGTCTTGATCAACATGTTAAAAAGAGTGTGCTTTTTAAGAAAAAAAGGTTGTTACTGCTTTATGTGGGATAAACTGTGTCATGAAGGCTTGAATCTAATGGATATTTACTCAAAAAAGGTTTCACTGATTTATTGCTAATAGATTAAATCTTATCGTATAGCACAGATCTTTTCTTGATAAAACACCAATAAATGACCAATTTTGTTTACTTTTAAAATGAATAACACATGGTTGTGTCAGTGTCTCCATTCTATTATCTATTGCAGTCAATGACCGATTGTAATATAGGTATAGGGGAGGAGTTATCTCTCCTGACGATACTCTTCAATCCTCATGATTTATGTGTCAACACACACATATCAGATCTTGATATTGCTAAATCTCATACTATGAAATTATTTAACACACATACAGATACATCTATTTTTTATATTAAAAGTACTTTTAACCCCTTATGTGGTACTTTTCATTAGTAAATTTAAATCCTTTATTTATTTTACAAAGATTTTTTTTATTTTGCATTTCTGTTCAATGTATAATGATTTAAAAAAAAAATAAAATAAGCCTTTGAAACTGAAACACTCTTTGCCATTTTTAACTTTCTGTTTATAAATACAAATATATACAATCTACCTTACAACTCAAAAGAAAATAATGTAGCCCCAAATTTAGACAAGGCAATTCAGATATTAAGGTCATACGCAACGTAGTTTGAACTTTATTGGGTTCTTCCCTGGAGTTGAAGAGTTCCACTAAATAAAGGACCTGTGTGCAGTACTTTTAATGTCTATATATGGATTTGAACACTTCTTTTAAAACATTAAATTTTGATGGAAAAAAACACAGGCACTTGTTTCAGGAATAAATTTTAACCCCTAGTATAATAAGTATTATACTATGGGTCAAACATTTATTACAGAAACAAGTGCCTGTGGAAAAAAATCAGGAAATAATTAATGTTTTGTAATTCTTATATATTTTTCTTTGAATAATGCAAAAATTTTCATTATTTGATATCTTCCAAAAACCTCTGGTAATGCCTACTGAGTTTTTGTCTATGAACATCTGATAGCACAATAATCTTAAATTAAGAATATCTTGAAAAATTATCAGTAGGTAAGGTACCTTGTGTATGTCTTAAAAAAGATACTTGAGTCTTGCATCATTATTATTATGATAAAAATATATGATTAATATTTGTCCTTCACAATACTGGATAAAGCTGGTAAAAACTTTCTACTTCAACACATATATGCAGCAGCGTATCAGTATAAATCTGAGGTCAGGCCTGATAACAAAAATAAAAGACTATCCTAAAGTACGCAGAATGGTACAAAGGGGTACCAATACCGCATAATCACACGAAGGTGAGATATATATTTCAAAATCCTTGATTTTTTATCTCAGTTTATAAATGATATCATTGATTCATTATTGTTCAGGCATTTGTTACATAAGATTTCAGTTTCATTTTTTTTTTAAATTAAGAAGCTGGATTTTAGACAAAAAGTGTAATATTTTAAATATTAAATTTAAAGAATTTTTTAAATTGTATTATTTTCATAAGTCACCTACAGATAATTTAATTTGTTGATATATTTCATACACAGGTGAACATATTTCCTGTTTAGAAATTCCCATTTTTTTTCATCTAAAATTAATGGGTACAATTAATACACCTAAAGCTATATGTCAGTTACTGCGATATTTACTACAGGGAAATATAAACAGTCATGTGATTATAAAACTGTCATAAAAGTTAATGAACCCATTCTAAGCGTTAGAACAAGAACGGTGTACATATGTGTGAATAGGTGCATTCCTACATTGTTAACTGTACACAAAATAAATGCATTTTTTTAAATAAGCAACATTTATAAAGTATTCATTCTTAGAATTTCAGTCATTCTTATATAAATTGATTTCTAGCATAAAAGCATTTCCAACAGAGAAATGAGAAACTCATTTTTATTATTTATAAGGAAAAGCTTTAAAGATTCCAAAGACACAAATGTCATTTTTGCCATGTTTGGGAGAAATGATATAGATCTACTGACTCCCTACTGAAGTTGACAAAAGACATTAGACATCCTGGGACTGTATTTTTAAAAACAAATCTGGTATATGACTACACAGTCTTGATACAAAGGTATTTTCATGCTTTGATGTATAATGATACGAGTCAGTCTCAAATGTTTTATGAGGTTAGTGCCACAAGAGACGACTTACAAAGTGAGGAATACTTACAATGTGTGGGAAGGGTAGGTCAGAAAACAGCCACCACATCCAGGTATCAAACACAGATGTTATGTCACTGCTGTGTCGGACCAAGTAAACATAAGCTGATTTCTGTAAAAAATATAAAATAGGTCCAAGGTTTAATTCTTACATGATTCTCCCATCATTAAACATATGCTCTGAGATAAAACATCCTTTTTTTTTTTAACCTTTTTTTCATTTATACAACAATCTCTCTCTCTTTTAATTGTTTTTTCAAAAAATTTTGATGTCAATATTGCATAACAAACACACAAACACTTTTACTACTGCTTTTAGGACAATGTTGTTTTAAAGAGTTTCCTTTATATCATTCCTGAGTTCAAATTTTGATCAGCATTTGCCTTACTTTTACTTCCTACTCCAATATTTAAAGCACAAATTGGTACAAATTTCAAGTTTTCTTATTCAAATTATTTACTGCATATTTTTTGGTAAGATCTCGAAGTACAAGTTTGGAAGCCTCCACAGCAACTTTGGTCTGCATGATGCAGGCATCTTTGGAGCGCAGTAAAGCATATATACAGTTAAAAGCATCGGAGGGTCCCATGTAGTGGAGGAATATACTCAGCTTGGCGTACAGTGTGGGACAGTACAAAATTTCTGGATTGGTATTTTGGATTATAGCGAGGATTTTGGCCACAGTTTTGGTTCCTTGTTCAGAAAGGTGATAGGAGGTAAGGTTATTAAAATCCACAAACGGAGGTAAAGCTATATCATCTGTGTTTCCTGGAAAGATAATAAAGTACTTGTGCATGTTTTCACATGATAAAAATTATCATAGGAGGACTTTTAACACTTTACATAAATAACAAGTAAAAACATATCCAACCAATAGAGCTTATTAGGAAATACCTGTTATACTAAAAAAATACAACTTAAATATGTAGAATGTTTTCATATCTGAGGAAGATTCAGAATCTGATGAAATCCAAATAAACATGAACAAAAAGTTATATACATATAACTTACTTTGGTGAAAAAGATCTTTCTCATAGTCATCATACAGATTGCCTTTAGCTTTATGAAGAGTTTCACAGACTTTGACCCAGAGTTGACCTCGGATAGTGTGGTGGGTATCCCAGGAGTTCTTTCTGTGGAAGTCTTTGAGCTCCTTATTACTGTTTTTATACCCCTTTAGAAGGTGAGTCAGTTCCATTTCCCCATCAAATCTGTCAGCCTGTCCTGCTGAACGTATTAGATTTTTATGATCCACATAGTGGGTAAAAGGAATGTTTACACTATCAGCCGGAATGACCTCAAATCCATTGGAAATCACATCCGAGTCCTCCATATCTCCTGAGGTGACCTCAGATTTACTCAAGGTCATGGAGTCACTACTTTCCATTTGACTAGAATCTTTGGTTTTCATATCCACTTCTGTTTTCACTTCTTTACCATCTTCAACATCCTTTGACTTGTTGTCTTCCCCTGTACGCTTGTCAGTTTCTTTTTCCTGAGTTTTTATCACAACTTCCTTATTTGTTTTAACATTATCAGTATCTTCTCCTTCTTCCACTTTTAAACTTTCTTCCCTTTCATTGTCAGCTTCGTTTTCATCATCAGCTTCATTTTCACTGTCAGCCTCATTTTCATTTTTATCCTGCTCACCAGACTCTCTCAGGTCATCAGACTCCTTGACTATTTCTGCTTGACTCTCTTCTTCCTCTTTCTTTCTGTCAACAATATCTTCATCGTTTGATAGTCCTTCCTGAAATCCATCAATCACTTGTTCTTCTTTTTCTCTACCTTCAATATCTTTCCCTAGATCATTCTTTTCATATTCAATATTTTTCTCCATGTCCTTTGGATAAATGTATTCAGATATCTATCCCATGATTGCACTGGTAATGAAGCTACTATCTCCCGTATCTAAATATTGCTTAATTTGGATGTTGCGACCTGGGATTCAACCTACAAAGAAGGGAAATTCATATTTAAATTCATGAACACAAGTCTAGACTGTCATGTAACATATGGATGATTTTAAAAAGGTGCTAATGTATTCAGTTAATGGTCATTTCAGACAAACTTTTATAGGACACTGGAGGGAATGAGCTACCTGTAAAATATATGGCCAACATTTAAAGAAATAATTTTTTAGACATTCAGCACTGGAACTGACATGCAAAATATTTTATTGGTGTTAAGAAAAGTTTAAAGTAAATGCATCTGAGTAATTATAGTCTGGCTTTTTTACCTTTTTTCACTTCATATTTGTTATTCCTTATTCACTCAGAGAAGAGCTAGGTCTGTTACTGATAAGAATTAGCTTTCATATCCATTATCCAGATCACTTAAAATTTTTAATCAATATATTTAAATCACTAAAAAAAGATTCTACAAGATATTTTATAAATCAAATGGTTGCAGCATTGACATTCACGTTAGTGCATATGCAGATGAAAATTACTTCTGTACAGGATTAAGTCTATTTAAGACCTTTCACATCCATCAAATTTAAGATTGATGTATGATCCTCTCATGTTTTAGTTAAAAAGTTTAATGTTAATTTAATATCAAATTGTCAGTACACTCATACTCCCAATAAACAGTACATCTGTCCATCACAAGAAATTATTTTTGAACATTTGTAAATTATGTGAGACTTTGTAGATAAAACGCTCCATTAAAATGTTCAAGGACATGCAGTTTCGCCAGATAAGAAAATATTTAGATGCCCTAATATGCCCATCAATTTTCCATTTGGTGATTACATTTAAAAAATTCCAGCAAAATTTTTAGGTTACCTTAATTGTTATCAACATGTATTGCAATGAATTGAAAAATGAAAACCCTTACTTTTTCTCAAGCAGTTCATGTTCTAATGTCTTGCCTTCATTGCCTTATTGCATTATTTCAGCAAAAACCTCATATATATTGCACAAGTGAATGCACAATTTTCAAAGCTGAAACCATACAAGATCTATGACAGTCACAATAATTTATTGCATGAATCTGCCCTATTAAAGCCATTTCAATTTAGCACTGTCTACCGAGATATATCCAATTCATGACAATTAAGGAAATAAGAGCTAGGGGTTTTTTTTGGTTTTTTTTTCAGATTTAAAGGGAATATTAAATTTATGTACTGTGTATCGTTATCAATTTGAAAGTATTAAATGCAAATTAGCAGCCTAAAATAAGTATACCAATGTTATTATTATTTTCTGTCGAAAGTTTAATTTGTTTTCAATAATCAATAAAATAATGCAATCAATTTGAATTTTGAATTAAATTTGAGGACTCCATTATAACTTTCTTAACCTGTTTATACACTTTATCAAACAATGATTGAGGAGTCCCAATAGAAATCAATGAATATTCTAGATATTTCTTTCAATCTACCGGTAAGAGAAGGTCACTAAGCATTCTTTTTAAAGTGCAATGTGCATGTATCATTTATTTAACTAGACACAAATATGCCAAATTGTCACATAAATGGCAGTGATGTAAAGAAAGCCTAGACTGAATCTGTGTACAAAAACATATTTGTACTGTCAAGCAATCTGGAATACAACATACAGTGTCAGAGAACCAAGAAAAACATGGCCCCATGGCAAATGTATACATCTTTATTTAAAAAAGAAAGTCTAAGTCCAAGGTCAATATCATTAGATCAAAAATCTGTAATCCAAAGAGAGGTCTTAAGTGTTACAAAGAGTACAAATGTGAAATAAGAATGGCCTTGTAGCAACCTTTCTGAAGTTATGATCAAGGTTATAATTTTTCAAAGGTATCTCAAACTTCAAGGTCAAAGTCAGAAGGTACAATTTTTTTCACAGAAATAGAAAGTTTATATCATCACAAGGAATCGTGACATGTGGAATATGAAAACCCTGGGACCTACCATTCAAATAAACTATGGCCTAAGCTAAAATTGATTAAGGTATTTCAAAAGTAGTTTGCTTCAAATTCCACAGATTTAGCATGCAGGTTTCAGAGGAGCTGCAAAAAATGTAGCCCCCCTCCTTTTTTTTTTTAAAAAGAAATCTAATAAAAATTGGAGTGGGCTAATATCATTTTCTCTTTAAACTACACAAAAAAATATTTTACAAGCCTTGTACAGAAAAAAAATCAATTATCTCATTAGTCAGACTACTTGCTTTTTGAGGAAATATTGATATCTAAATAACCTGGAAATAAAACAAGTATCTAGGCAACAATGAATATATCAAAAAAATTAATCCTTTTTACAGTTTTTGAAAGAATCCTTAATGCATATTAAGTAACAAAACATGATGAGCTAAACAAAATATTATCAACATAAAATGTTTTGATCCGACACAGTTTAAATACTGTCAATTCACTCATTTTGTGGTTGTTGTGGTGGGACTGTATGCCTATGTGTAATTTTTGTTTTGTTTTCAAGGTATGAAGAGACCCATGCAATCGATTTAAGTTTACTACCTTATTTGACTATTCTTCATTCAAATATGTGTTCAAATGTCAAACCACAAAAATTTGACGAGATTAAAATACGTGATTTTACAATACCTGTACCTCTTTATGGCAAACTAATATCCATCACATTTTGATTAAATAAAAAAAAAATTATCTTAAAAAATACAGCTGGACTCAAATCATTCCAAAACCACATCCTCTAACTTAAACATAATTAGCATGGACAGTAATTAATGGAATGTTAGCAATGTAAGATGGAGTCTTCTTATTATCAATGAATGTAACAGATAAATCTGTAGATAAGTGTGTGTCCTTAGGCTAAGTATATAAAATCAGGTCAAGATATCTTGTTTGGTTAACTATTTGAAAAATATTTATAATACATGTTATTATCCTCATATTCCCCTAACTAATATCCATCACATTTTGATTAAATAAAAAAAAAAATTATCTTAAAAAATACAGCTGGACTCAAATCATTCCAAAACCACATCCTCTAACTTAAACATAATTAGCATGGACAGTAATTAATGGAATGTTAGCAATGTAAGATGGAGTCTTCTTATTATCAATGAATGTAACAGATAAATCTGTAGATAAGTGTGTGTCCTTAGGCTAAGTATATAAAATCAGGTCAAGATATCTTGTTTGGTTAACTATTTGAAAAATATTTATAATACATGTTATTATCCTCATATTCCCTACTATACTTATAGCCATGTAAAGTACAAACAACAAACTCTCTGTCACCTGAGTGAGGCTGACACAGCTTCTAAATGACTCAGATATCTTAATTTATCAATAAGAGATGAGGCAGTCTGTCAGTGTATGATTTATAATAACTTCAAAGTTTATAAATTCCAGTTAATGAATCATCCAAAGCAAGGTATCCATCCTTAGTACTATGACTTTTGCTGTGTTTTAATTAGCTGCAATAATGTAGCCCTCTCCGATTTTTTTAATCTGCTATTTTCTGGAGAGGCCTCCCCTTCCCTCTCCAGAAAAAGGATAAGGGCTACATTATTGTAGCTAGTCTGTATTAAATTAAATGCAGAATTAAGCTATTAAAAGTCAATTTTTATTTGTCATTAATGAGATTTTTTCATTAATCAATGATGGTAATTATGCAACAAATATTTGAAATGTTCTTGAACATTTGGAAATCATCAATTTTTGAGCAGCGACTTCTTACTAGAGACAATATGGTACAGTATATGGCCATAAGAAAGTCATGATTGCATTTTTACATTTATATATATTTCATCAGAATGTTTTTTTATACCTTATTGTGAGGCCAATCTAAGCCCAACTTCCATGATTTTTTCACCGATTCGTGCAGAATTCTTCAAATGATACACTAATCATTCAGAATAATTTATAAAACCTTCAAGACAAAAAATTCTAGCCTCAAATTACTATGATTTCTTAAAAAATTAGAGTCTGAAAATTTTTATATTGCATTAGACATGCAATATATCTGCAATGCCTGCAGATAAAATTATTTTGAAATAATTTGAAGAAACTGTAAAGAATTCCACATTTAATGATGTTTTAGTCATAAAAAAATGAGTAAAAATTACAAAGCAATTATATTTTAGAAAAATGTATTTTTCAGTGTAATATATTCAAGTGGAAATAAAATTATGACACACTTAATGGCCAGCTATATAGATGAAATCAAATTTGATAACCATGCAAAACATATGAATACATACATTTATAGCTGCAGAACTGTAGCTCTGTGAAAAAAATATTTTGACAGACCAGAGAGCTAGAGTGCCACCCATTGAAAAGATTATGTATATATTATACAAAAAGGGTGCTGTTTCCCGATTTATTTCTCCATATTTTTAAACTGTGATAAAAGAAATATAACTAACCATGTGTTATTCCTTATAATTCAATTGTTATTAATAGCCCTCCTCGCCCTGAATTGAGATCATTGAAAATTTCATCTATTTTATATACTGCCATTTTGGTTTGCAAGATACTCTTCGTGCTGCTGTCAACTGCGAGAGTACTTCATAGAGGAGTAAGGCATTTTTTTTCGCGTTTGAGGTAAGAATTTGGAAGAATTAATCCAGAACTAAGCGCAACTTTTGTGCACAATAAATATACAGTTTTTACAATGGGTGGCACAGTAGCTCTCTGTTCTGTCAATATATATTTTTTCGGAGAGCTATAGTACTGCAGCTAATACATTTAGCAAAGAATATACAATTAAGTATTGCTCTAATCCTGTATGTTCTATCATTTGGATCCTCCTCCTCCCTTTTTTAAAATTTGTTAATGATATCATCGCCACCGGTGAAAAAATATATGAAAATTATCTGCCACTGACATTTTGCAAGATCTTTTTTCTTAATCATGTTAATATACTTAAGATGGTAATTATATACTTATGTGTTTCTAACAAATAATTCATTCAAAGTCATTGTGTATCACGATATATTGCAACCTCGGTAATTACTCTGAGATATTACGTCACTTATATAATGTCTGGTGCCCGAATCGATCTGCAGAAGAAATATTAAAATTTCAACGGAACTGCACTTCGGGGAAACATTTTTTACTTAAGTTATGGAAAGTTTAATAAATGTTTCACTTACCTTTATCAATTTCTTTCTCTCTAGTTTCAGTTTCACGATTGTTTATCAAAGTTTCAACTGAACTTTTTATTTTTAACACAAAAAGGCGTATTGGATATTAGCTAACTTTTACCAATGATGTCCGATTAGTAGAAGATAACACGTACTTAAACTTATTCGTTTTTCTCTATTGTTGGCAGCTTTCTGATCGGCTCATACTAGATCACTTGTGATGATCATGAATAAAAGTCTTATACACTTTATGTTTCTATTTCATGCATTTAAAAAGCTTATAAACCTACTGCCTTTTTATATAGAAACATTCTTCTGTGAATTTAAGCAACAATAGTGGCTGTGTTGATATAATTTTTGTTACAAGTCTTGAATAAAAACTGGATGATACTGCAGCTGCTACTATGTCATAACAATGCCTTATATGAGAAAGTACTGGCATTTATATAATACAATCTTGTCTTAATCAAAATTTGGATCAAATTTTTGTGTTGCTCAAGTTAGACTTGTTCTATTTTCTCTATCACTATATAAATTCTCCCTTCCATGCAAAGAACTGGTTTCAAATGATAAAAAATCTGCAAATTTGATATTAATGTTAATTATAATGAAAATATTTAATGTACCTAGGTAACCTCAGTAAAGCTTTTACTGTCACTAGTTTTTTTGTGCAACTCAGGTTTAGCTGGCCATTAATTAACTATCCGGGTAACATTCATGCTACATGATCCTAAGCAATTATAACATAGATTTTTTTTTAGATTTTCTTATTAAATGATAATAATTTAATTCTGATTGTAACGCTGTATTTGATTGGATAAAAAATTTACTTCATATTGTATAAAATGGGTTGCCTACGTCACAATGACTTACGTCAAAAACGTATCAATCCGCTTGACGTTACATTCAAATTTTGTACAAATTGAAGTCATTTTATTAGAACAATCACCTTTTTTTCTTGCATCAAATGAATGAAAATTAAATTATAAGCAATGAATTTAATAGCTACCCATTTTATACGGTATAAACTGGGTTGGAACAGTTTACGCTTTTTTATAAACCGCTTCGCGGTTTATAAAGCGTAAACTGCCCCAACCCAGTTTATACCGTATAAAATGGGTAGCTATTAAATTCATTCCTTAAAAGAAATATAATAAAACAAATACATGTGTATAGCATTTAAATTTGTAAATTATCTATAATTAATTATATGGATCTTGGAGAAAGCATAATGATCTTGGTGCTTATAGTTCATGCTCGGCCAATATGCTTTTTCTGAGGTCTATATACATGTATCTAGGTATAACCTCAGCAAAAGGCTTCATTTGTGTAATATCCAATTTATTTACCGACTCCATTGCACATTTAAACAACAGACGTACACTGTAGTTTGAAATTAGATGTGAGTTCCACTCCCATACTCCCTTAAGTATGTTAGTGTAGTTGAGCATGTGAGCAGATCTAACATCTCAATTTAATTAGATTTAAGATTATCCAAGTTTAAAATCGAAGAAAATTTCATTTAAAAATGTAAAAATAACATTTAAAATGTATCTCTACACTCAAACTTGTATTATTATTCTTTTAGCTCAGATATACCGGGTATATAAGTTTATATCTTATATATGACTGCAATATTTTGTTACAGCAATTTGGTATATATTTTCTGAATTTTTAGCATTTGAATAAAAACATGTATTTTCATAATGTGAAAAAAAGTTTAATTAAAACTAAATGTAACAACAAAAGAAAACAATCAAAAAGACAGTAACATTGTGATAACACTGGTCAACAATTGAAATCAGGAAGATTTACAGACATTCACAATAATACAGTGTACTATGCAGGGGTTACCCCCTCTCTACTCCCATCTGCATTCATAAACTTGTCACCGACTAAGAGATAAAAATAAAAATTATTTGGCTAAAAAACAATAAATCAATAATAATATGAGGTTCAATTTTTCATTTGCAGGGCAGCATTTCTTAAAAATTGATAAGAAATTATGACAAATAAAACAAATATTACATGGATTCAGATCTCATTTATGTGAACACCATCAAGATAAGACAAGAATTAACAGAGACTTTGATTTATCTAGATCTATCTCCAACAGAAACAGTTCTTTTTAAATACATTTGAATTTACCCGTTTACATGCACTAGCTAGCAGCTAGAATATAGTTGTCTTTTTCAAAAAATAAATTAAAAATAAAACTTTTTCTGTGCATTTCATGCAACACGTGCCATATTATATAAACAATCTGCACTATGAGAGTGTGTGCACTATTAAAAATCTTCAGTCGTAATTTTTTTTTTCTTACACAAGATACTCTTAAGTATGTAGCATAGTCAAATATATTTTCAAAAATAAATAAATACAGTGTATTATGCCACTTTGCTCATATAAAATTCAATCCCTATGGAAAACATTTTACTTGCTGAATCTATCCACACTTATTCGACTTTGGACAACATTTCCAGTCTTCAAGATGCGGTTTACTGGATCTAACATTATACAGTGTTTGATAAATTTGACTGTGAGCAAATAAAGCTCAGAATTCTGGTCCCACGGCTTGCATACATTAAGGTGAGTGGTTGACAAAGGGTGGAACTCTCCAATACCAGGATCTGTAAAACATCCAATAATTCATTAACAATCATTCAATGGGATTTTTAGTGCATAGACATTGTACACTGTGTATATGAAACTAATGTCATAAATAAACATTTCTCTAGTCTCAGGAGGAATGGTAATGCAAGTTCTTTACTTATACTAGTAAAACATAGTTTGACTCAACCATGATCTTGATTTGATATCAATGTCATGGTCTTGTCCTTGAACAAGCAACACTGACTGATACCTCCTAAATCTAATCTGTCAAAAATTGCTTGATCATACCCAAAACAGAAAATGACTTAAATATTTCTACGATAAATCTGTAAACCATAATTTCCTTTCAGCATGTGTAACCTCTGCAGAGAAATTGAACAGAAACTGCAAATAATTGGAATTTTTGTAAGTCCAAGGGGCATAACTCTGTCAAAAATTGCTCAATCATACCCAAAACAGAACCTGATCTAGATATTATTATGATAAATTATATACAAAATTTCATTTCAGTATGTGCAGCCTCTACGAAGAAAATGAATGCAAAATGTTGGTGGACCAACAAATAGACTTACCGACAGACAGACAACAGTAAAGCAATTTGCCCTCACTTCTTTGAAGGAACAATACGAACTTTTGACTGTTCTTACCACTAGACTCAGGTGGAACAATAAGAAGTTTGATTCTTTTGTATCCAACAGTCTGCTTCTCAGTTTCACCAAAACTCAGGCACTTGATTCTGTTTTCTGTCACAATCTGCTTAAAGTTGCTGTGCAATGTTCTCAGAGCTAAAGAATCTAAAAAAAGACTTTAATTGTTTAAATATTGTTAGAATAGTGCACATTTTATGGTTCACAGTAGAATGTTGTATTGACCAGAAGACAACTGATAAAATTATTTACAAAATCTATGAGGTACATGTTTTAAATCATCAATTCAGATTAACGTTACATTGTAATTTCTAGCCAACCCCAACATATTTTTTTGTTTTACAAATACATAAAACATAAAATCATTTAATAGTAAGGAAAGATCTTGAGATGATATTGTTCTATAATATTCATTGTCTGAAATAGCATGAGCTTGTTATATTCACATTTTGAAGTTACGTATGTTCCAAACATCATTTTGCATTAACTGTAGGCACCTAATATGAATAAGTTAAAGTGTACCCTGACTGAGTTCCTGGACCTCTACTGTGGGGGAGAAGATACGACTCCCCCGGTTGGAGATGTTGGCCAGGGCGGAGCCTCGGTGGGGAGTGCTGTAAAAGATAACCCCCGACGTGTTGTGGACAATGTCTGAACAATCTGGACTTAGGTTACTCTGACAGAGAACTTCCTTAACCAACAGCCCTGTATCAAAAGTAAAATCACAGTGTAAAAGATGCTTAAGTTTATAGATTTTATGTTGGGAAGGCAAGCAAATACAGAATTACCACTGAGTAAAACACAACACAGCAATTAACTTATTAATTATATCAAAATTAACACAATTTGTTGACTTTTTTTCAAGTAAGTGTTTTTCTTCATTTAAACATTTTTAATGTATTTCATTTTAAACGAATATTGCCTTAATAACTTAGCATCTTAAAGAAGTTAGATTTACCTCCCATTGAATGTGTGACCCAGATAATAGGTCGTGACCCCACCCCTGCTGCCTTCAACTTCTTCTGAAGTTCTGAAGCTCGCCTTGGTAAGGAACGCCTACAACACATTAAATGCTGATCTATAGAAACATATAGGTACCTTTTTAAATTTATAAACTTTGTTCTTTGATAGTTATATTAGTAATTATTTTTTAATAAAGATTATCAGCAAATCTATCTATGATGTGGAATTTTTACAAATGATATATCAGTAGTAAAGAAAAGAAGGTACATTACTTACTTTTCTGTCTCATATGGACAGTTTGCATTCCATGTACTGAGATTTGTGTCATACTCTACGGACAAAATACGGACAAAGGGAACATCCTTTGACAGCCAATCCTTATAAAAAATTAAATTAATTAATTATATCTATCTGCATTTCATAGATCAATCAAGTCTTGATATTAAAAATATCCTTTACTACAAATTGCAAATTACATGTATAAATAAAAAGCATATAAATGAACTTTGAATTAATTTGATAACTATTTTTTATGAAAATGTTCAACATTAACCTATATATTTAATACAGAATTAGAAATGTCAGCCCTAATGTCTTTTTAAAATAACTAGTAGTATACATCTTACTATTGGAATTTTGCATTTACAATGACGTTGCATTCAACTGTACTTGTGTGCAGAAATCAGGCTACAGAGGTGGCAGGGAGACGCTTGTACAAGTAAACAGCTAGAGATTTTTTTGTTCACAGATTTCTCATCCATACCTTTGGCCAGCAGAAGGTGTATGTTCCTTTGCGGACACTTGCCGGCCCTTCTGCTACATTGTCTTTGTCTGGCATCTTCCTGTCCTGTTGTCTCCAGGTTTTAAAAGGTCCACCAAGTAATCCATGGACAAACACCACATCAGCCATCACTGGGTCTCTACAAATATATCGTATCACTAATATATCTTGCACACATTTAAATATAAAGAATCGTGCAAAATATGTGATAAGTTCTAAAGGTAATAGTCAAAATATCAAATCTTCATTCAACTAAACTTGAAATTAGCTAACAGTATGATTCTCACTGAATCATATTCTTCATTTACTATAATAATAATTGGTTGAATGTTATTTTACTTGGATCTCTTTGTTGGGTGTACAAGGTAGACTCCACTGGGATACAGAAATGTCCCATCATCCCTGTCTAGATTAACTAGTGCTCTAGAGGCGTGTAATGACAGCTGAAGGTCAGAGGACTTAGACCATTTATACAAAAGGGATACCCAACCTGAAAATACAGGAGTCTCATTTACATGTATATGTTTATATCCGGGATACCTAATAACACAATAATCATAGTCTACAATGTTTCAAATTTTATAAACAAAGTACAGTAAAACACAGGTATACCCTTATAGGAAAATAACAGTCAAAAGAGTGGATTTTTCAATTTCCACGAGCATCTGCTCTAGAGTCGCGAAGTAAGGAGTTAATCCTTACATCGCGGGTTTAAATCCCACTGTGGGAATTGGAGATCTTCAGATGAGACCGTATAAACCGAGGTCCCGTGTCGCAGTAGGTGCTGGCACAAAAAGATCCCTCACTGCTCAATGGCCCTGAGTGCCGAGTACAGGACAAAATTTGTAGCTCTCCACCGGCAAGTAGTGGCATCTCCATACGAGTGAAAAATTCTTGAGAGGGACATTAAACAACAGTACCAGTAAAAGGCTTGCCCTATGTGCCTCCGGGTGCAACAAGGACTAGGTAGGTAGTAGGTACCAGTAAAAGTACCAGTATTGTCATCGTCGCAAACCAAGGCCAAAATGTACGATCTTCTCCCATTCTGAATGTGGTTGCAAGAGACGAGACGAGAATATTTCGTGTCGCATTTAAGAAGTGAGCAATGTGAGTAAAGCATAGTCAGAAATTGACCTTTCATGCAACCTTTAAATACCCAATCGCAGTGTACGAAATACTGCTGATGTAATTTGTCGATTTCAATTGCGATGGAAACAAAACTTGTCATTGACTGAATAAGACCTCACAATAGAGAGGTGTAAATATTCAAGATTACGACACTTTTGGCGATCAAACAGCCACGGGTAGGAGAGAGCTATATATGTGGACTCCGGACCGTGGTTTGAGACGATGCAGTATTGTAATCTTAACAGACACTATAACGAATCAAAATTGCTCATCCCTGGCAATTCACTATTGGCATATTTTACTGTACCTTTGTTCCAAAAAAAGCAAGATATGTTTGTGAAACCCTGATGTCCCCATATTGCTACTCATAGATAAAATATGTCCAGTTATATAAAGATATCCATTGCCAGAAAATATAAGAATACTTACTCCAGTAGGACTTAAGAATCTGAATTTGTTTTTACATCTTAACCTATCATTGCTACTTGTAACAAACATAATCTTTGTGATTTTATTTGAGATATTGTGAGTAAATGATCTCACAAAATTCTAGCCCCTGCCACATCTTTTCCCCTAAATTACTGCATCTAATGATTTAGTCTCACCATTTTATGGAGCAGATATAAGTTTTATACTTTTGTCTTCCAGTTACCTTAACTTTTTTTTTTTTGTTTGTTTTTTTTTTTTTTTTTTTTTTTTTTTTTTTTTTTTTTTTTTTTTTTTTTTTTTTTTTTTAAGCAGGTTTTACATCTTTTTTTAAGCCATTTGTTCAATAAAATGATAATATCTACTAATTCTTAATTTTTGGTCTCTAGTTATAACATGTATTCAACTTTAAATAATGTTATTCCAAACAATTATTTAAAAGTCAAACTATAAAATATTGTAGATTTAGAACAAACATATCGTTTTTCTAATAAAAATTTATGAAAAGGGGAATAACTCAATTTTCATTTTCAACTTGGAAAAATAGAAAATTGAGTTATTTCCCTTTTCAATAGGCCAATAAAATTGATCAATGCGGCCGTTTTTGAACTGATGCGGCGGTGCCTGAGAAACTATTTATAATTTTTTTGGCCTTGTCAATACAATTGTGTTTGTTACATACAATCTTCTTCACTGAGACAGGTAGAGACTTACAGACAATGTCATTATTATAAGTCTCTTCAAACTATGTTTGTGAGGGGTTTAAAAATTAAAAGTTACAGCAAATAAAAGCTAAATTTAAGAATAAGCTTTCAGTTGTCTCTAAAGAATAATAACTTTAAGATCCCTATGTTTCTTTGGGGTTCCCTTACCCCCTTTAATGATATCTGGATGTAGCTCTTCGTGGACGGACAAATTTCCCAGGATTCTTGCAATCTGTCTCCTCATCACTATGCTGTATTTTCTCTTGTGGTACGTCTGTTGTAGAAGTGGTAGCACTCCCATTTTCATCATCTCAAAGCAATGATGTCGCTCCTGGCAAAAAGTAAATAGATAAATATGAGACAAATATCAAGAATGTTTGCTATTTTAAGCTCATTGCTACAGACAATGTACACTGCCAAAATCAGCAGATACTTCTAGTGAGAAAATGAACATCCTGGTTTGTATTGATTTTTGTAATTTTGCAGTCATTCACCTAAAAAGTTGAGAGGCATGTCTTCCATTTAAACATATTTAGAAGAATATGTCTCAGACTTTGGAAACAAATTTTGAGTTAAAATAAATAAAAGTTTAACCAATGTTTGAAGAAATATTCATTTAATCCAAAGAGATTGAAAATATAAAAGTTGAGCCTGACATCATAGCTAGGGGATTATGAGATTGAAAACCGTATGGTAAACATGAAATTTAACACATCTGGAGAAACTTTGGTAGTTTTATTCTCTGTAAGGATGGTTTATTTTATTTATTCCATCTTATAAGAAGTCAGGGAGTATTTTTTACAGATCTTCACAAAGGGGAGGAAAATCAAGAACTTTGTCTCAGTTCTGATAATTTTTCCCACTGTGACAAAATATCAGGTTTATTCAATAAATAAATCTCATCATTCCTCTGTTGAAAATTAATAATTTAGCACATATTACATTTTTTGATCTGTAACTTCATGCCTAGAAACACCTTTGAGAAGAATCTTACTTACATTGGAGTGACTGATCAGAGCTTGTAGGCAGATAATTTCCACCCTCTCCTCTGGCCCTCGGCTCACAGTTTTAGCAAAATCAACTCCAGGTCCTCCAAAACTCCAATATCCTCCCTAAACAATATTTTTCAACAATATTAAGGAATACACTGTACATATATTTTGCATAAAAATACTAATATATAATTCTTGCCTGGGTATTTGCCATCTAAAATTTGAAATTGTTCACAAGTACATCAAGTATGTAATATGCAACAAGAATTCAATTTTTTGTCACTTCTTCCATTTCCAATGATGAAATTTATTAGTGTATCAAAATAAGAAGTTAAAAGGTTTATCCCACCTTGTATATCATTTTAGGACGCACATTTTGAATAACTTTATAATGTTTTACAGCATTGTGCTACATATTTGCTCAAGTTAAAGTACATATCATAAGGACAGGTACTGGAGAGACTAATGGGCATTGGATGCTACCTGAATATTATGAGTTTTTACTGATAGAACAGTCCAGCTGTTTCTGGAACTAGAACTCAGGACTCAAGTGAATTTTACAATTTAGTGAAGATTCTATTATGTAAATGTATCATGCTCATGCAATGCATCTTGTTTCCAGATGATTAGGAATATAAGTAAAGAATTAAATGCATTTTTTAAAATCATTCAGTGTATAATCATATGTGCTGCATACATATAAACCCCACTCTAGGACCAGAACCTTAATCAGTAGTAAAGAACCTCAATTCTGGAGAAGAGCTCATTTCTCAAAAATGCTAACAGTTTGTTTGAAGGATCAATTTCAATAGAACAGGCCTACTCCATACTGAACTATTCTTTGTGATCTTCTATGTCTGACTTACCCGTTCTTCTTCTATATTCCCCTCAATCAGGGCCTGTGTAGTAAAATACTCCAAACATTTGCTGAAGCCATCTTTTGGCAAGGAAGACAACAGAACTTTTAATCCTGATTCCAGATCTCCCTGAAAATAAATTGTTGAGATCAATTTTAATACAAAACAACATTACATTGTGCACAAAAAATGTGCAGCAATTAAGATATAGAAAAGTGCAAAATAATTATGTTTATGAGTGTGAAGAACAGGAAAATAAACAGTTCTTTTTAGCACTGTACCTCTACTTTGTCTGGGGTAGGAAATGGAGCAAAATATCTCCCATCTACATCTTCTGTCCTAGCTAAACCAACCAATGTTCTTGAATCACAAGCTTTCCTGACCCATTCAAATTTTTCATCTAGTAGTATGTACAAAGAAATAAAAAAAAGCCTCAATATTGCAAAATTATTGCATACATTGTTTCATTAATCAGAAAGTACATGTATACCTTAAATAATCTTTCAGTAAAAGTCAAATTCTAGGAGGCTAAGTAAGGAAAAAAGTAACCCCCCCCCCCCCTAAAAAAATTACAAACTGCTGTAAGTTACTGTTAATTTAGCTGTGTATATTCTTCACCTGGCCAATGATGGATGGATCCCAGAGTTTGAACTGCCTTCTTTCTCTTTGCAGGGTCTGCTGATTGAGTCAGTAAGACTAACATGTGTGGATCATTGAAATGGAGGAGTCCAATTAGAGATGCTGGTATGTGTGATCCAACCTGATTTCCTATAAATTGAATAATACATGTACAATATCTGAATTTGTTGTCCATTTCTAGAATGGTCACTAATCTGGCAAAATATTTATGTATAGAGTACAACCTACCTGCTAAAAGGAGAAGAAATATAGATATAGTTACCTAATTTGTCTTTTACATTGAAGATTCTTTTTGGTTTCTTGTCATCTGTTAAAAATAAATGAACAAAAAAGTCAAATCATAAAACTTGCTGGATGTCTGCATGTGGAGAAGAATTTCTTATGTACATGTACACTTCTTTTACAAATCAAGTACAGTCTAACCTTATTATCTCAAACTCAGGGGGACTGAGAAAATACTTTTAGATACCTGAGGATTCAATATATTGAGGATATAATACTTGAAGGAATGAATGTTTGTGACTTCAAAATCACTTTAACAAAACCAAACACAAGAGTTCAAGGTATCTATTTTTGAAATACCAAAGTTCAACTGAACCTTCACATTTCCAGATGTGCAATTTTTACTACATTTAAGGTCTGATGACACGTTCCTCAAAAATATATAATTTTTCCTAAGAATTTGTAACTGAAGTATAGGTACTTAAACAAGTTTCCTCACAAAAAATTAGGGTACCTTACCAGGCATTTGGCTGGGATACCATAGGGTCAAATTTCTTATATAACCCTTATAGGTAATCTTCTAAATTGTCTATCACACAATTTTTGGTGTACTTATACTTAAAAACATTTTGAAAACAATGTAGAAATCAGAAGAGAATAACAAATATGAATAATTTTTGATATAATACCAAGAGATACAAAACATACATTTGAGGAACGTGTCGTCTGACCTTAAGAAACCTTCCTAAGTTATACAGCATAACCTGGCTTGATGCAGTTTATGCATTATAAACCTTGAAGCAGTTTATAAAAAGGCATAAACAGTCTGCTCCAACCCAGGTTATACCAGTATAACTTGGGTAGCTATTAAATTATTCCTTATAATTTAATTTTCTATAATGATGTATTGAAATTATCAAAGTCATATTATCTTTCAAAGATGACTTCAAATTGAGCAAATTTTTAACTTAACGTCAAGCAGATCGATATGCTTTTGATTATTTGTGACGTAGGGAACCCAGGCTATAAGGTTCGTGAAAAATTTTTCGTCCAGTCAAATAATGCACTAAGCCAAAATTAAATTATTTGTATTTAACTTAAAAAAAAATCAAAATATAACATGTATAATGGATTTTATGTCACTAAGTAAACTTGAAAAGGACTTTAAACAGCTAGGAGAGATCAAATTTGCTTGATTTATAGGGGGTACTGTAACAATAGGAAAAATACATTATTTCACTTTCATAAATCAAATTTCAAGTCACTAAGAGGCATCTGTATAACACTGGGCATTGTGTAATAAAAAAAATATGGCAAATGCAATGTACATGATGTATAATATCAATTTTCATTAAGATTCAAAGAAGTGAAAGATGATCATAAAGATAATTGTCCTCAGTAATACACACTGAGGGTGTATTCTTAATATAATGTGCTTTTTTTTTTCTCAGTGAAGTCTACATGTACCGTTACCTTTTATTTGAAATTCAGTGATATCTTCTTGATTTTTGTTCAGTTTGTATCTATCTCTGTCTAATGCTGTTGATTCTGTCACAGTTCGAAAGTTTGTATCATGCAAGATACTATATCTCACTACATAAAATCTGTAAAAAAATGTTTTTTGTTTTTGAAAACTGGACCCCTGAATATCAAGTCAAGTGATATTTACTGTTGTTATATTCTATTGTACTTTTCAATCTTTAACAAAATATAAACTAGAAATATGTCCATAGGACATGAATGCCCCGCCGAGGATATTTAATAAAGCAACATGAAAATTCGTATGTGTATAAAATTTGATCAGTTTGGTTCAGGTAGGGGTTATAGTTACTAAGGAATAAAAATGTAGGTCAGATCCAGCATCCAAAGCAAGTCTGGTAGTGTCCATCCCTAGATGCATCATCCATGCAAGTTTGGTTCAGGCAGGGCTCATAGTTACTTGGGAATGAAAATATAGGTCAGATTCAGCATCCGAAGCAAGTCTGGTAGTGTCCATCCCTAGATGCATCATCCATGCAAGTTTGGTTCAGGCAGGGCTAATAGTTACTTGGGAATGAAAATATAGGTCAGATTCAGCATCCGAAGCAAGTCTGGTAGTGTCCATCCCTAGATGCATCATCCATGCAAGTTTGGTTCAGGCAGGGCTAATAGTTACTTGGGAATGAAAATATAGGTCAGATCCAGCATCCGAAGCAAGTCTGGTAGTGTCCATCCCTAGATGCATCATCCATGCAAGTTTGGTTCAGGCAGGGCTTATAGTTATTAGGGAATTAAAATATAGGTCAGATCCAGCATCCGAAGCAAGTCTGGTAGTGTCCATCCCTAGATGCATTATCCATGCAAGTTTGGTTCAGGTAGGGCTTATAGTTATTAGGGAATTAAAATGTAGGTCAGATTCAGCATCCGAAGCAAGTCTGGTAGTGTCCATCCCTAGATGCATCGTACATGAAAGTTTGGATTGGGTAGGGCTTAAAGTTCCTTGGAAATGGACCTGCTCCAAAAACTTTAACCTGGTCACTTATCTGGAAAATGTAGGTCAGATCCAGCATCCGAAGCAAGTCTGGTAGTGTTCATCTCTAGATGCATCATCCATGTAAGTTTGGTTTGGGTAGGGCTTATAGTTCCTTAGGAATGGACCTGCTTCAAAAACTTTAACCTGGTCACTCATCAGGAAAATGTAGGTCAGATCCAGCATCCGAAGCAAGTCTGGTAGTGTTCATCCCTAGATGCATCGTACATGAAAATTTGGATTGGGTAGGGCTTATAGTTCCTTGGAAATGGACCTGCTCCAAAAACTTTAACCTGGTCACTTATCTGGAAAATGTAGGTCAGATCCAGCATCCGAAGCAAGTCTGGTAGTGTTCATCTCTAGATGCATCATCCATGCAAGTTTGTATCAACATGTGAAGTTTGATAACACCAACTTGAATGGTATGTTCAAATCTGAGCTAAACACCAATTTAAGAAAAGTGAGGTCAAGGTCAAAGGAAAGGTCAGGGTCAAAAAATGTTGACGCAGTTGCATAGCTCTCATCAATATCTATCAGCATATGAAGTTTGATGAAAATATCTTGAATAGTTTCAAAGAAACTTAGCTTTGAACAGAGCTAAACGCAAAGTGTGACAGAAGACGGAAGGACGGAAGGACAGAAGGACGGAAGGATGGATGGACGGAAAGACGGAAGGACGGAAGACGGACATGACAAACACTATATGCCCCGGCCATATTCATGGCAGGGCATAAAAAGTTTAAGTAATCATTAAGTCTTTATTAAGTCTTACCCTGCAGTTGTAATTGCTATGGATAGACAACCTGTAACATAAAATGAAACTTCAAAAATTGCATATTTAAAAACTTGTAAATATGATAAATACTAGTGCATTTTCTAGTTATTTTTCTTTAAATTTGCAATTAGAAAATACCAATTAAAAATCATTCCTATGCAAATATTGATAATGCTGTGAACAAAACACAGACAATCAAGACTTTGCTCCTAACTGAAAAAAATTAAATGAATTTTCCTTAATAACAATTACAGGAAAGAACAAGTTATGTCTGGACTGGGAATCAAATCCAGAAACCTTACATTATTAGACAAGGGCTCTAACCACTGAACTATCCAAGTCAATATTCTTGGCCCATACAGCCCATATTACTACATTCCTCCCCCATTGGCCATTAGCAGGACTTTCATTGGAAAGTCCAGTCTAACTAGTATTTAGTATTATAGGTCCCTGCCAGAGGTGCTTGATGGTATCAAATATGGCAGGAATTTTTTTTTAAATATGGCTAAACAATTAAGGGTGTTGGACCCAGGATGTCTTGATAGTCAGGTCTTCCTGACATCCACCCAGGTCTCTATCCACAGTCCAAATCACTAAATAGAATTTATTCACAAGAATAAAATTACACAAGAAAAGGCAAATGTAGTATAAATATAGAATTTAAATGACTGTTTAAGGTAAATGTCACAATATGGGATGTTCAGGTGTTGGGTTTGTTCATCTACATGTATCACTGGGCTAATGTGCAGGTCCAGTCCAAAGACTATTTCTACCGAGTTAGCTGTTAATAGCTACGTAGGTATTTAAACCTACCGAAAGTAGCTATTTTTGCCTACTTCTGCTTTACTTGCATTTTGTGGCCAAACGGCTGAACGGCGCAAAATGGTGAGTTCCAAATTTCTTGATGCAGTCACACTAATGATGGATATGACAAAATTTGGTCAAAACATTAATTCGTAAATTAACAATTTTGCATAAAAACTAATGGTAAATTGCTGATTTAGGAAGTAATTCTTTTTTCGGCCAAAATTTTGTTGTATTCATCATTAGTGTGAGTGTATCAAAAAATATAGTATTCACCATGCCGCGTAGCTGCAGAACTGTAGCTCTCGATCTGCTTGAGAAAATTCAGACAGATAAAGCAGAGAGCTACAAATCCAAGTGTTGTAAAAACCTTCAAATTACGTCACCAATTTTTTGTCGCTACTTTAGGTATTTTTTTTGTAATTTAAGCTTTCACTGGCTTAAAAAAAAAAAAAATAGAATGGTATCCTTTAATTAATCATATATTTAACTCTTATTTTTGATATTTTTTTTTTTACCTTTTAACAGACCAAAACTGTCCTGTATATAGTTTTGTAATGTTGGTTTAAAAAAGACTATTTCGATGTACTTCACCACAAACAGCCTTTTGTTAGCATTGAAACACATGTGAACGTTAAGTAAATTATCAATAAAATTGGAGTTAAATATATGATTAATTATTAAATACTGCATGTTTTTAAAATTGGGTAATGTATAAAATACAAGAAATAATAGCCAAAGTGAGCGAAAAAAATCGGTGGCGTAAATTGAAGGGTTTTTTAACGCTTAGATCTATACTTACTTACTTACTTACTACTTATCCTCTCCATGCCCCGGAGGACACATGAGGCTGCTTTATCTGTTCGAATTTTCTCAAGCAGAGAGCTACAGTTCTGCAGCTACATGTTGCGCCATTAGGTCTTTTGGGAACAAAATGCAGAATGCCAGATAATACAAAAGGTAGGTAAAAATAGCTACTTGTGTAGGTTTAAATTAGGTCCAGTCCCTGATGTGTAGGTAAACTCAGTGTTTATAGGTACAATGTATTCAATGTTTTACACTGGAGTCGCCAATTCCGGGTCGTCTCCAATTCCGGGTCGTCTCCAATTCCGGGTCAATCATTGTATTTTATGTCAATAGACGCCCCTGCGCTTGCTCCAACCATCACATCGTTAAAATATCATTTGTGTGCACTCAGTGCAAATACCAATGAACTTATCAACAATTCACTAATGTTTACCAACACTAACCAATAGAGTACAGTTTTCTTCTGTTTGACGGAGTCTGTGAAATAAATCTCAGTCCTCTAGATTGTTCTGAAATGAAACATATTTTTCTTAAAAGTCCAATCATTTCTTCATTGTCCCATGTCAAACCTCAAGACGAACAGAACAACCAAAATCGTCATATCAACTTCGTAGAAGCGAGAAGCAGACAATTTTTTTTAAATTTAATGTTATTCTGCACCTTCTTCTCGCATTTCCTGTTTTCGTTTTATAAAACCTACAACTGACAAGGATTTTGCTGATAATTTTTGTTCTACGATCCCGATGTTATTTTTGCGATTTTAAAGAGACCCTTCATTTTTTCTTAATTAAAACAAGATGTGTTTGTGAAACACTATGCGCCCGGCGGCAACAAAGTTAAAAAAACATATTTTTAGCTTATAGGTCACAGTCAAGGTCACAAGGTCATTGATCTTGGTGTCATTTAAAAGAACTTGATTAGTGAAGTATGCATACCAAATATGAAGTTTCTATCTCTCATGGTTCAAAAGTTATGGTGAAGGTTCAAAAAAGCTACTTTTTAGCATATAGAACACAGATGACCTTGGTGTCATGTGAAAGGGCTTAATTAGTGGAGTATGCATCTCAAATATTAAGTCTCTATCTTTCTTCGTTCAAAAGCTATGGCGAAGGTAAAAGTTTGCCGACAAAAAAGCTATATTTAGCGTATAGGTCACAGTCAAGGTCACAAGGTCATTGACCTTGGTGTCATTTGAAAGAGCTTAATAAGTGGAGTACGTATACCCAATATAAAGTCTCTTTCATTCATGGTTCAAAAGTTATGTCGAAGGTTAAAGTTTGCAGACAAACAGACAAACAGACAGACAGACAGGACAAAAACAATATACGCCTCGGATCTTTCGATCCGGGCGCATAAAAACATAGCCGAATAAAAAGCATATAATACTTGAGATAAAATAGGGCTGCGCAATAATATCTGTATATACTGCAATTCGTTAAATATAACGCATTGCGATACATGTTTCCAGTACCGATATACCAGCAAACTTTGGGATTTAGATTTCCAAAGCAGCAGTGAAGTCAATAAAAAAATTAACAACATATTTATAATAGTGTTAAACACGTTTCTTATACAGAGATTGATTGATTGATTGTATGTTGTTTAACGTCCCTCTCGAGAATTTTACACTCATATGGAGACGGCACCACTTGCCGATGGAGATCTGCAGATTTTGTCCTATACTCCGCAGCAGAAGGATAAAACGTACGCTCAACTAGGACCTTAGGCCCCTTGTCCCTTAAGGCCATTGAGCAGGGAGGGATCTTTTCGTGCCAGCACCTACTGCGACTCGGGATCTTGATTTATACGTTCTTATGAAACTTATCCGAAGGGTTTCCACGTCCCACACTACAGTGGGATTTGAACCCGAGACGTACGGATCAACAACTTACTTTGCGACTCTAGAGCAGACGCTCTATAACCAATGCGCCACGCCGCCCACGCGATGGCTTTTTTTTAGATTAATAAAACAGAAAAAGAGCATTTTAACTGCAATTGAAAATATTCCAATACATATCGCAATACAGTTTAAAATATCGCAATATATCGCAATATGAAATTTCCAGCCAATACCCAGCCCTAGCATATAAGATGATTTAATAAAAATATAATTTCTGCTGTCAAATGCACATAGATTTTCGCTACATTTTTTCTTCTGTAATAAATATATCCGATCCAGAGGTTTAAGGGGGGGGGGGGCGAGGTCCGAAGAGGCCGAAGGGTATGGGAGGGGGATACCCTCCCATTGGGAGGAGGGGTCCGGGGGTCTCCCCCGATTTTTTTTTAAAAAGAATACAGCAAAGGAAAGTTTTTTAATGCATTAATAAACAATGTTTTTTTCGTAAGCCGAACTTTCATTGCACTCCAGCGACTAAATGGGGCGGTCCTTCGGATGAGACCGTATAAACCGAGGCCCCGTGTCACAGCAGGTGTGGCACGATAAAGATCCCTCACTGCTCAATGGCCCTGAGTGCCGAGCATAGGTCTAAATTTGCAGCCCTTCACCGGCAATGGTGACGTCTCCATATCAGTGAAATATTCTGGAGAGGGACGTTAAACAGTATACAATCAATCAATCAATCAATCATTGCACTCCAAGGATAGTCACATTCCCTACAATAGTCATTGGTCCTGTAATAGTCATCTGGTGAAGTTGCTGGGTGTTGCAGCGTTTTGTCTTGTCGACAGCTCTGTCTGGATATCTTTGGATCAACGTCAATCCTGGATGTATCTCACTTGCACTCCTCATACATCACGAAGAAGTAAGTTTCAGTGTTGTTCCTCATGTCTTGCAGGCAAGATTTCACAGTTTTAATTTCTTCATATGCAGCAATTATGTCTTTGGGACCTTGCTGAATATTCACTGAAATTGGTTTTAGGTACCCCCCAAAAAGCTTTTTGTAATGAAGATGTCATTATTTACTGGAAACTGGTCAAGCAAGCAATCCCTTGGTTTTGATTAGAGTTTCGGAAACCCAAGATCTGCTGGTATCATTGATGGACTCCATACAGGCTAAAACCAATTCATACAACTCTGAAAATTTTCAAAAAGCTTGATGCTTTTCTACTCATCTTGTCTTGCTACCAGCTTTATCTTGGATGATGGTGCCTCTGCTAAAATGGTCTCCTCCAATACCCTTTGCATTATGTGACTAGTAAAAAAAACATACAAATCTCTTGCAGAGTTCCCATCACATTTCGTACCTTTGACAGCTGACTAGCTTTGACAATGGAAAGTTTAAAGCAGCGTGCAGCACATTGAACATTGATAGCTTTCTCGTTGATAGCTATGATGCGACTTTGAACTCCCTTCACTGCACCTGCCATGTTTGATTCCCCATCATTGCCTTGTCGCATGTTCATGATAGGAAGACCCCACTGGTGTAGAAGTATTGTCAGTTTGTCCGTCAGGGCTTCCCCAGTAATTCATAGGTAACAAAGCACATAAACTTCTGTATACCGTTTTCAGCGTCTACATAATATGTATCTTGGCATAACAGCAAGTTGTTTCCAGTTAGATCTGCTCATTTTGAAGTTGAATTGTTCTGAAGGGACAATGTGGTCTTAAAGAATGTTGTCTCCTGCTTCAACTCGAAAAAGGATCAACTCCTGAAAGTTTCCTTTGTTGAACTCACCTCTGCTTTTAAATGATGAAACTCGAGATCTGTCTGTTAGTCTTGACTCTTTTGGTTATTGCCGATTCTGTTCTGACATCAATGCACTGGATTTGGTCTTTAAATTCTTTATAAAATCCTCTGCTCTCCAACTCGATGTCAGATAATAGCTATGTTGTTGTGGGTTTTACACTCACCAAGTCCTTTAACCCAATTCTTTACCTATCTCTTCACGAAACTTCCCAAGTTTGTTCCTGTTTGTTCCCCCAATAAATCTATTTAACATACAAATATTTACATCCGTTGAATATTTTTCTCCTTTATTTCTTAAGAAAACCCGTCGCGTTAATCACTGCATGAACTACATTAGGCATGACGCCTGTACAGATTTCTTGATCAGTGGCTGTTCCATCAATGAAACGCATAAAGACGTTCGCATCATTAATATAATGATTAAACTTTTTAATCCTTCTTTAAATGATTATTTAAACAGATATGAATATAAACAATAAAATGTCTTTCTTTGTTTGTTATTACTGGAGTAAACGGTCGCAGCTATTGCAGAAAATTTTTTTTCTGCAACAGCTGCTTCCGTATTGTCAGTTTGTCCGTCAGGGCTTCCCCAGTAACTGCTTCATAGGGAACAAAACACATAAGCTTCTGTATACCGTTTTCAGCGTCTACATAATATGTATCTTGGCATAACAGCAAGTTGTTTCCAGTTAGATCTGCTCATTTTGAAGTTGAATTGTTCTGAAGGGACAATGTGGTCTTGAAGAATGTTGTCTCCTGCTTCAACTCGAAAATGGATCAACTCCTGAAAGTTTCCTTTGTTGAACTCAACTCTGCTGTGTGTTCATATCTGTATTCCCTCAATGCAATGTTCTGACGACCACAAAACAGTACTTTTTAAATGATGAAACTCGAGATCTGTCAGTTGGCCTTGACTCTCTTGGCTATTGCCGATTCTGTTCTGACATCAATGCACTGGATTTGGTCTTTAAATTCTTTATAAAATCCTCTGCTCTCCAACTCGATGTCAGATAATAGCTATGTTGTTGTGGGTTTTACACTCACCAAGTCCTTTAACCCAATTCTTTACCTATCTCTTCACGAAACTTCCCAAGTTTGTTCCTGTTTGTTCCCCCAATAAATCTATTTAACATACAAATATTTACATCCGTTGAATATTTTCTCCTTTATTTCTTAAGAAAACCCGTCGCGTTAATCACTGCATGAACTACATTAGGCATATGTCGCCTGTACAGATTTCTTGATCAGTGGCTGTTCCATCAATGAAACGCATAAAGACGTTCGCATCATTAATACAATGATTAAACTTTTTAATCCTTCTTTAAATGATTATTTAAACAGATATAAATATAAACAATAAAATGTCTTTCTTTGTTTGTTATTACTGGAATTAACGGTCGCAGCTATTGCGTAAGCGGGTTATGTATTTTTTCTGCAACAGCTGCTTCCGTATTGTCAGTTTGTCCGTCAGGGCTTCCCCAGTAACTGCTTCATAGGGAACAAAGTACATAAACTTCTGTATACCGTTTTCAGCGTCTACATAATATGTATCTTGGCATAACAGCAAGTTGTTTCCAGTTAGATCTGCTCATTTTGGAGTTGAATTGTTCTGAAAGGACAATGTGGTCTTGAAGAATGTTGTCTCCTGCTTCAACTCGAAAATGGATCAACTCCTGAAAGTTTCCTTTGTTGAACTCACCTCTGCTGTTTGTTCATCTCTGTATTCCCTCAACGCAATGTACTGACAACCACAAAACAATACTTTTTAAATGATGAAACTCGAGATCTGTCTGTTAGTCTTGACTCTCTTGGCTATTGCCGATTCTGTTCTGACATCAATGCACTGGATTTGGTCTTTAAATTCTTTATAAAATCCTCTGCTCTCCAACTCGATGTCAGATAATAGCTCATGTTGTTGTGGGCTTTACACTCACCAAGTCCTTTAACCCAATTCTTTACCTATCTCTTCACGAAACTTCCCAAGTTTGTTCCTGTTTGTTCCCCCAATAAATCTATTTAACATACAAATATTTACA